TGTGAATTCAGGTCAACCGCAATAGGCGCTGCAGGAACAAGGCGACGAATGATGCTCGCAGAGTGAGCAGCGTGAGCAATTACTGTAGGGAGGCTGCAGAGGTTCACCGCGTACATGCTGGGGCTGGCCGGTGGGCACACGCGGAGGGCGGTGGTCTCCAGGCAGTTGGTTCCAGCAGCGACAGGCGCTCGCACGGAAAGGTGTGGCGCACCACGAGGGCCACGCCAGCGGCACGCCCACTGCAGGCCTGGTGGAAGTCACTGCAGCCAATGAACCTCGTCACTGGGCACTCTGGTGCCTGCTCTCCTGCAGAAGAGCCATGTCGCGCCGGTGCTGCGCCAGTCAAGCAGCAAGGGCAATCCTGAGGGGGAACGGCCTGAACTTCTGAGATGCGGCTCTTGAGGACACCACCGCAGCAGGTGATGCCGGCGAAGTGACCGCAATGAAACGACTGTGCTGTTCTGTCAGTCGGGCTGCAGGCAAACCGCCTCGCCGCTCCACAACCGACAGTGCATGGGACCTTCTCGAGGGGTGACGCCGTCGTGGTCCCCATCACGCCCGCAGCAATGCCCTGCTGCAATTACTCCAAAAGAGACAACCAAGAGTCTTGTGGACGTGTGCAAAGAGTACAGCGACTGTGATTGCCAGAGAAGGCCATCGTGGCACCGTCCGTCACGCGTCAGCACACACCGAGCAACGCACGCACCCGGCAGAGCAAAAACAACTAGGAGAGTGGAGAATGACCCCCAGAGCAGGCAACACCTTCACAAATGGCAGGCATCGCACAGCCGCGTCAGCCGGCCTCCAGCACAATGCAAAAGCGTACCACACGCATCCATCCAATGACACCGTGATTCCCACTGCTAACGGTAGACACGCAGCGACCATACTATGTCAGCACGGGATGCAGGCCAACGTCCCACCTTCGCCAAGACATTCCTGCAGAGCACTGCGCAACTAAGTATGTGTGTGTGTGTGCTGGAGGAGCAGAAGAGAAGAGGAGCACAGGTAGGCACATCAACACAGCAACAGGCACAACTGGATGGCAGCGAGAAATGCGGTACGGCCCCGAACTCAACAACCACGCACGGTGGCAACGCACTAACATCCACAAAAAAACAAAAAACAGAACAAATCCTTAAAGAAAAACACGGCGGCAGGGTGTGGCTGTGTGTGTGGCGCTGCGGGTGTCTGCCAGCCCTGGCCGCAAAGAAAACAAAACAAAAGGAAAGAAATGTGTGCTCCGCCCCACAGGCCCTCGTCGCACGCCCACACGTCACGGCTCCCTCAGCGCGCCGTTCGTCGCGGCCCCTCCTCATGCGTGCAGCAGGCGAGGCGCACAGGGCCGTCGTCATGAGCGTGTCGGTGGGTGTGCGAGTGGAGCAGTTGGGCGGGAAACACACGGCACCCCTCACAGTAATAGTGCAGAAGAAACAATTAAAAGAGGGAAGAGTAGAAAAGAAAACACGTCCATAGTGATTGCCTCAAAAGAAAAAAAAGAAAAGAGAAATGAGAGAAAAGAACAATAAAAAGTAAAAACAAACTCAAAAAACAGGGAATAAAATAAAAGAAATGAAGAACGAAATCGCTCAAACAGAAAAACAAAAAAAAAAAACGTTCAAAATATTTCAAAGCAAACAGCAAAGAAAAATTAAAAACAATTACAACAATCATAAGAGGACAAAAAAACAGAAACAGTTACGGTGCTCCGCCCATGCAGCCAGGCAGGACGGCAGCGGTGCGTGTCGTGCAAAAGAGAGCACCAACGGGCCTGCATGGGTGTGCATGCATATATACAATGGGCACATTATTGTGTGTGCTTCGTGGGGTGAGGTGAGGGCGAGAGTCCATGCAAGGGGACACACACACAGAGAGTGAGAAGGACGAGTGTGTGTGCGGGCGGTGCACGGCTCTCTCTCCCTCACTCTCACGCGGCCACCACCGCAGCCGCAGCCGCACACGCAACAACAAGAAGAAGAAGCAAAAGAGGGGAGGTGGTGTGGGAGGCCGCGGTGCTGCCGTCACTGTCGCCAGTCGTCGCCGTTGTAGTTTTCATGGCTGTGGCTTCGACTGGTCTTTCCTTCGGATTGGCATCTTTATTTTCATTTTGTTTTCCCTCTGCTGTCCCTGCAACATCAGCTGCTGGGTCACTGTTCGGGATGCCCTCTTCAGTGCTCTTGTCAGCTTGATTATTGGCGGCACCACCGTTTGCCATGAGTGATGGTGTCCTGAATTCTGCATTGTCGTCCTGGACGTATTGTAGCAGTTGTATGGGCCGTAAATTCACAGTGCTGGAATGTCCATTCATTGTTGCTGGTGGTGGCGGTGGTGTTGCCGTTTGTATTTCTGCGTCCTTGGCTTGACTTCCACGTGTCTCTGTTGGTGCCTCATGACTTGCATTTTTTTTGTCTGCTGTTTTTTCTGGTTCTTCTTTCAGCACCAATTCAGTACAGTCATATTTACTGAAGAGATTGTTTTCTTCCGTCGGTGTCTTTTTGTAGGATTCATTTCTCTCGGAAGTATTCTCCAATTTGTGTATTTTAATACCCTCAGTGCCAGGGCTGCGAGAAGAAGAAGAGGATTCAACAGTTTTTAGTTTTTCGGGATCACGTACACTTTGATTGTGTGTATGGCTAGTACGTTTTCCATCATTTGCATCTACCGGTCTCGACATCCCCTCCTGTTCCCCTGCACCTGATCGTCCGAGATTCAGCGGTTTTTTTGTTGGTGGCTGAACTGCGACACCGTCATTTCCTTCTAAACCAGCCACCCCACTGCCCTTCGTATTATTTCCCAATTTGTTATCCTCCAAATTCTCCAGTGGGGCTGTAACATTCATTTCTTGTTCACCTTCCGCAGCTTCAACCGCCTTTATTGATGCCATTCGAGTGGATAACAACCCGCAGTCCGCCTTCAGAGACACGCCGTCATCGCCACCATTACTCGTGTGCCTCAAACCGTTCCCTCCACCCTCACCGCAGTAATCCTCCATCGCGTGTCCAAAAACCGCACCACACCACAGCACGCAGAGGGCACACACCAGCAGCACACGGCCAGTCATCATCATCGCCATCACTCCTGTCACTTGCGTGTAGCCTTCAGCACAAAATAACAACACGTCAACGCAGAGTGAAAGCAAAAAGGAAAAAGACAATCAGCAGCAGCAGCACGCACCGTCCCATCCAGCAATGAGGGTCACGCACCACAACAACAATTAGGTGGACGCGGTTCAACAACAATCAAAAAAAACAAAAAAGAATTAATCCCCTCCCGTACACCGTTCCTCATACTCACACAGTCACTACAACTGTTATTCCCTCTCCTCAGACCCTCACAGGCACGCCATGCTCACTCCAGCACGCGCCCCTCCAGCGCAGGCCTCGGGATCGTCGGGCCCTCCCAGCGCACGCAGCCGTCATGCACTCCCGCTGCGCCGCAAAGTACGCCACTTCCTCCCTCAGTCAAGCAGCTCCGTGTCCGCCACGTCCCTCACAATCGCCGGCATGCCACCACCGCGCGTAACACACACAGCGCCACAATGTCGTGCCGCCTCTCCTCAAAAATTATGAGCGCAACGCCCAACAAGTACTGGCGCACGTGCTCCATGCGCTGCAAACACACACCAGTCAGGTTGGCCGTCATGCGCTACATCTCGTTGTCCTTGTGGTTGGAGCGGACCTCCCATCCTCTCAATCCACGACCTGGGTGCTGCGAGAGGCTGCCGAGTGGTTCCACGTGTGTGGAAGAAGCAAATGTAAGAAAACAACGGCCACCCTCACACATCTCCGCTCCCTCCACTCATCCGCACGGAAGGGCGGTGTCATGGGGAAGAGAAACCCAACGCACAGCACGCGCACAAGGGCACATGGAATAGCAACGCCATCTACGTCGAACCGCAGTAAAGAGCCATGCGCACAGCACACACACGGCGGCAACAAGAGGGACGGGATGTATACAAGTACAAACCGCAGTCCTTCACTTCTCCCTTCCCCGACGGATTGGCGTCCCACACTCACAGTGAGGCACGGCGCACACCATCCGCTCCCTCCATGTGCACTCAGCAGGCCGGCGCCCAGTCACCCTCGTGCCATCGCAATGGGGAGCACAAAAAATTGTCGTAGCGGACCATCGGTGCCCCTAGCAGGGAAGAAGAAAGAATAAATGAAGGCATGTCAACAGCACGGCCAGCAGAGGGACACTCAAAGGGACACGGAGACACAAAGTGACAGCAGATACGGTAAATACAGAAACAGACAGCAGGAATTTAAGGAAACAAAAAAAAGATGAGGGTCCGGGATAACTCCCAAAATTAAAAGAAAAAAATGAAGTAAAAATTGATTTGGCGGGACTTTTATTTCATGGACCGAGCATCACAAGACGACCAACCGTGTGATCGTGTATATAAATATTGCCCGCACGAAAAATGGAAGCAAAAAAAAACAGATCTTGCTGTTCCACCAGCCCACACAACATCCCTCACATTTCATGCGGCATCCGGCCTGTTCTTCCAATCCTCCTTTCGTGCAGTCCGTGGGAGACACAGCCGCAGGGCCGGCACCGCGTGTGGGCAACAACAAAAGCAAAAAAAAAGGGGGAACACTTCACCCATGACAGTGCGCAGCAACCGAAAATTACAAAAAGAAAAAACGACAGTACTTACTACTTTGGCTAAATTAAGTAAAAAAATATTAAAAAGTAAAAACATCAACAAAATAAACGAACAGTAAAACTAACAAAAACGGTGGTATAAAAAAGCGCGGGCAATGCGGCACGTATTCTCCGTGAGGAGTCGCAGATCCCCACTCCGTGGCTCACAGACTGCCATGACCCAAATACAATCCCAGAAGAAGCAGCAACACACAAGACACGCGCACATGCACAGTGTTGTTACCGCTTAAATCACGCAGTGTCAATTTCACTTCGTTGAGAGAGGGCGAGGCGGTCGTCGGGACTCACGCCGCTCCAGACACTGCGAGGTGACTGTTTTTAGTGGGATTCGTGTCCAGGGGCGTTGTGCCCATTCATTTCTCTTCTGTAATATCCTCAGCAATGTGCTCCCTGACGCTGTCAACCACTCGAATCTTCTCGGGCAGTGTCGTAGCCGCTTCCCTCGTCGGAGCGGGGACCCTGTCCTTGAGTGCACGCATCGCAGTGGAATTCAGTGGGCGGTTGTACAGAAAGACGTCCGTCAGCTTCACATGAGATTCGTGCCCACCGCACACGCCAAAGCAAAACCTCAGTACCTCAGGTGGCCTCCCGCCTGCTAACAGCACCTCTTCCGCCCCAAGCGACCGACCATCAATGTGCACAGAGGTCTTGTTGCCTTGCAGCATGAGTGCCACTTGGTATTCTTCCTTCGGCACCCAAGTGCTGCTCCGTGTTGTTGTCTTGCCTTCGATCGACGTGTACCACGTTTTATTGTGGCTACACGACAGTCCCACAGTATGATTGGACTCAGTGTTCGCCAGCATCGCAGTCAGTGGAAGAGCGTTCCCATTCGGAGCCTATTCGATGGTCACCGACGCCAAAAGTGTAAGGTCGTGGCTCAAAAATACATGACGCACTTTATCACCCCGAGTGTTCACGGGCCATATTGCCCTGCACTCAAGTCGCGTCACTTGTAACCCATCGTTTTCCTTCACTGCATTCCTCCACCATCGCATGCAGGCAAGGTACTCGTCGTTCCACGTGTCATCACTGGCCGCATCGGACAAAACTGCCACCAGACTCGTCGTGGGTATAGAAAAGTTGGAAAATAAAATGTCCTTTTGCGACCAATTACTGAGGAAGGACTTGATTGCACTCAGTTCCTCCGTCAGGCGGGAAAGTGAGATGACACGGCCCTCACCGTTGCCCCTCCGTCGTAAAAGATACAGATTGCCATCAGAGTGCAGCAAGTTGCTTGAGAGCGTTCAATTCGCAGCACTGTCCATGGCAACCGGTCCAACAGAAAAAGTGCGGTTGCTGTCCGTCACCCAAAGGCAGAGCGCAGTGGCCCTTTTCTTCCCCGAGGCATACCTTCTCTGAGTGCACAGTGTGACCCTCCTTCCCTCAATGGTCGCGGTGATGAGGGCATCCACACGCAGGCTTTCTTTCTGAGAGACTCCCGATCGTGCGTTGACCCACACGGCTGAGAGTGTCCCGATGGCCTCCGTCCACGCTGTCCCCATGTCACGCGACGCCTACACCCTCTCGCCGCTCTCGCAGTCAACAATCATGAGAAGTGATCCCTCCCATTCGGTGACGCGGGGTTAAGGCATTCCGCAGAGGAAGTTTCCTCAGAGAGCGCCCAGGCACTGCCGTTGTAAGTCGAGCAAATGATCATGGAGCAAACATCTTCCGCTTCATCCTTCACCATCAGAGGAAACACAAGCGTGCCATCCTCCATCACAACACCTGAGCCACCAGAAGCAATAAACTCCGTCCAGTCACCTTCGTGAGAAGCAGAAGAGATCCGTTTCGGGAGTGGTTTGGGGTCGCCCCATTCGATCCGTCCACTCCGCTTGCCACCCGTGGGATTCGTGACATCACCCACAAACAGCTTCAGCTCCAAGCCGCCATCTCTCCAGCACCCACCCTCGTAGGACACATCAGAGCCTCCCGCAGGAGGAAAAACTCCGTGGCCCTTCGTGATTGTTGTGCGGCGGAGAACAACACCCAAACTCTCCTCTCCCTCCGCTGCACCAACCACAGTGTGTGCCCTCCATGCATCCTTTTATTGACCTCGCCAACAGCAGTGGACCAATTCCACTCAGAGTCGATGTACCCCGCAACAAAAGCAGAAGAAAAGGGCTTACTTAATTGACCACCTTGATATTCGGCATCCATGTGACCCTCGGCGAAAGCACCAATTACTCCACCAGCACTGACGAGGGAGGGTGAAGCAATTCAATCCCTCGTCGTAACTGGAACAATCCCACCCTTCGGCTGCACCAGCGTCGTCTGCGGTACAAATAGATCGATTCCATGCAATAACTCAACATTTATTAAACCACTCATTGCATCATCAATGGGATCCCCTTGCGGCTCGGTGACAGGCGTGGGCCTTCTTCCGGGAGGTGCCGGGGTCACTTTTGTGTTCCGAACAAAGGCAAACTCAGGCCTCGTCACGGACGTGTTGGTCGCCGTGTTGGATGCGGGACTCCGATCAGCGGTGTTGGGTGCGTCAGCCGCCGCAGACTGTCGCCAATCCTCGTTCTGACGTGACGGCTCAGCATTCAATTGCGGTGCAGTTGTCTCGCCAGATTTTGTGTCATCCCTCCCTTCACGGGGTGGCGGCAACTGACAGATGCCCGTACGGTCAGCATCGCCGCTCCGTGCAGGCGGATGGATGGTTCCATCGGGGGAAATAGACGCCACCACAATTCATAAGGGCCGGCGTATTTATGTGCCATCACATTCATCGTGAAGGCAACGGTGGTCTCTTCCTCTTTCCTTGCACAGCTGGCAGCACAGTTGCTACATTTGTGCACCGCATTGGCCACATGGCACACAGCACCCAGCTCACCATTCCTGCCATGCATGCGCACATCAAAGCCACTGAACGTATAATTCTCACACTGAGCCTCAGCACCGGCAGCAGAACACTTCTTCCACGCCCACACACACACGCGATAGCTCAGGCTGCCGTCACTCGGAGCACACGAAACATCCACCGGCACAACCACCGCATCCGCATCACCAGATACATCTCCAGGACTCCCAGCAGCACGCAGACGGAATTTCAGCAGCACAAGAGCACAAGGACCAACACGGCGCCGCACCGTCACCGCCGCAGTCAACATCGCCCGTAGTGGAGTCGCCGGTGTCAGTCAGCTGATCGGTGAGACGGAAGGAAAAGAATGGAACGAGAGGGAGAGGGACGGAGCACAGCGGATACAGCGAGAGAGCGCAGACAACATGAGGAGAGGGCAGCAGGCCCAGCCGCACAGTCCACACACCACGAGACGGCATCCACGCAAGGAAGGCACACAACGCCAGCAGCCACCCACCATGCAGGAGGAGAAGACATCCACCACCATCTCCCCCAGCTCATTCCCGCAGCCCCAGGGAAATGGCAAAAACCCGCGGCCACCACACAACGCACACGGAGCAAGCGAACCCTCATCCATCCATCACACGGCAACAAAATTTCCTGCCATCCCGCCATCAATGGGACACGGAGCCCAACTCAGCGCAGTCACACGCGGTGCATCACACCCGCAGGAAAATAGACTCGGGGTGCGCTCCCTCTCTCCCCTCCTCCTCATGGCCACGGAAGAAGACAACAGCCGCCACACGCAACTGCCAGCATGCACTACACAAGGTGCATTCAAATCCACTGCAATGTGCATCTTGTGTGTGTGGTTGTGTGTGCCTGCAGAGACACAAAGCAAAGAAGTAAAAAAGAGGGAGCAGAGTATGTGGAGGGACGCACAAAAATGTACAGCGGAGACGCACAACGGAAACAACAACAAGAAGACCGCTCAAACTCATGACTGCACTGCAGCCCAAGCAGTGGCAATCCACACAATATTTATTGAAAACAAAAAAACGTCCCCCTTCGTCTTATGTAAACCCCATCACACAAAATAATTATAAATGAAAAAGAAATCGTCCATTACTGCTCCACACAAATTTTAAAACAAAATAAAAATCGCCTGGCTGCCGTGTGGCCACACCAAACTGTCCGCATTTATTTTGCCCGCAAAAGAAAATTAAAAGATATTTAAATGTCTTTCAACCGTCCGACCCTCCGTGTGTCCGCACATCGTTTATATTTCATGGGGTCATCCGCGTGTTGCTGCTCCCCTCAGCCCTCTCATCGGCGCGTGAGTGCGGCCCGCAGAGCACAGTCACTCGTGTGTGTGGGGACTGAGAGAAGCACGCAGACATGACGGCAGTCGCGTCACTCCATCGGGAGAGTGAGCGCAGCAAAAGAAAAAGAAATCATCGGAGGGGAGAGAAATGCTCACGAGGCCGACACCGAAGGGTGCGCCACCGCATGAAATAAACACGAGAAGCAAAACAAATCCTTAAAGAAAAACACGGCGGCAGGGTGTGGCTGTGTGTGTGGCGCTGCGGGTGTCCGCCAGCCCTGACCGCAAAGAAAACAAAACAAGAGGGAAGAAATGTGTGCTCCGCCCCACAGGCCCTCGTCGCACGCCCACACGTCACGGCTCCCTCAGCGCGCCGTTCGTCGCGGCCCCTCCTCGTGCGTGCAGCAGGCGAGGCGCACAGGGCCGTCGTCATGAGCGTGTCGGTGGGTGTGCGAGTGGAGCGGTTGGGCGGGAACACACGGCACCCCTCACAGGAAGAGTGCAGCAACAAACAATTAAAAGAGGGAAGAGTAGAAAAGAAAAAAACGTCCATAGTGATTGCCCAAAAAGCAAAAAAGCAAAAAAGAAATGGGGATATAAAACGCACAGCAAACAGGGAAAGTAAAAAAGGTTATTAAAGAAGATAAATTAATTGCCGTGTGTGTCGGTGCAGGGGAGGTCGCAGGTGTCCCACGCGGCAGCCAGTCACTCCTCACAGAGCCGCAAACACCCACAGTCCCAACAGAAGAAGAAGCAGCAGTCCGCTCCCACGCACAGTGCCGGCATCGCTGTTATTCCCCTGCGACACATTTCCGAGGCTGCTGCTGAGTGCCGCAGCCTTTACTTCGCCGTCCCGTGCATGGAGCTCTTCCTGCTGCACATCCGTCCCTCCCACCCTCTCCCCATTCGCATCAGAGCTCACGCTCACCTCAGTAGTTTGTTGTGATCCATCTCCCTGAACCGTTTCTCCACCCACTGTCACCACAACTTTGTCACCACCAGACGAGGAAGTGCCATCCGCATTTTTGTTTCCACTGGGAGAGGTTCCAGATGTCGGCTGCTTTACGGGCTCCTGTCCTGAAGAAGCTGCGGCGGTAGACGTCGCTGGTGTGGATGCGCCGCCAGCTCCGGCACCATTGCTCCCTTTCGGCTGTCCTTGCTCCGACGGCGGTTGCCCGGCAGAATTGGACTGGGTAACGGTTCCCTGCACAGGTGATCCACTTAACGCTGGTGAAAGAGGAGATGTTGTCGATGTCTTCGGAACTTCCGGCTTCGGATTAGTAATTTTATTTTTGACGAGCTCAGCAATCTCCCCGGAACTTAACGGACGGTTATACAGCAATACGTTCGTCACAGTCACAGACACACCTTCTTGATTCCCTGCGCCGCTTCCATCCCCTCCAATGTAGAAGTGAGAGATCCCTTTAGACCCTTCAATATCCTTCAAATCTAATTGCGCATTCCCCACAAGTGTATCATGGACGTAGGCCGAGCACTGTTTTTCGTTCTGTAGCACAATGGCCACTTGGTGTGTTGTCCCTGGCTCCAAAGGGCTGCTGTGCTCCGTGGTCCTTGGGCCACTGCACAACACTGCCCAGTTCCCTTTTTTGTTGCTGTACGACAGTCCAAAAACTTTGTTTTCTCCTTGGCCTTCCCAACGCGCACCCATCAATGGAATATTACCCTCCTGCGGCTCACCGTCAATGGACACCGTCGCCACAAGAGTGAAGTTGTAGTTCGCAAAGTGGTACAGCTGGTTCACCCCTTGCTTGCCAACGGGCCACTCCGCCCACGCTCCCTGGAACTTCACACTGCCTTCATGCAATTTTGCTTTCTTACCCCCAACATCATTATTCTTCACTGTGGCGTTCACCCCGAGGTACTCGTCCCTCCATGTGTTCTCAGAGAAGTTGCCGGACAAAAAGCCAACCAGCCCATCCGTGATCTTAAAAGTAGGACTGCAGGCATTGCCAGGTGAGGGACTCTCAGCACTTTTTGAAGGGCACAGCTTGGAGACACGGTCGTCCACTTCCTTCCACGTCGACAGCACATCCTTCACATGCTGTAGCTGCGCAGTCAGAGGCAAATAGACCATACCGGGTGATGGTTTCCCTTCCTCACCGTCCTTCTTCTCGTACAGTGCAATCAACTCATCCTTATTAGTTTCACTTCCAGCACTTTTGTACAGCAGGGAGCTGGCGGCAGCGTCATCGTCATCGGATACCGGCCCAATATCAACAATGTGCGTATTGTCCGTCAGCCAAAGATGGAGGTTTCCCTTTCCATTGCCCGTTTCTTTTTTACCAGCCTCCTTGGGATAAACCGGCAGAGTGACGAGCATCACATTTCTGTTATTATCAACACCGTCAATCGTCGCTGTGATGAACCCGCTTCTAACGACCTTCACTTCTTCGCCCTGTTTGTTGCCCCACACGCGCGAGAGTGTCCCGAGTGCCTCCGTCCACGACTCCCCCTTGTCACCGATCTCGTACACCCTGCGGCGGCCATCGTCACACGCAGTCATCATGATGAGTTTTTTGTCCTTCTCCCCCCACTCCACAACGGAGGGATCACTGCAGCCACTGTCAGGAACCTCCTTCGACAGCGTCCAACTCGCAGCGTTATCGGAGGTGTATATGAGTAACGAAACGGCCTTTTCATCCTTTGTTGCTTCACCCTTCTTGTTCCCCTTCTTCGTGACTTGCACTGGGAACAAGAGAGTTCTGTCTTTCGTCTCAATACCCGATCCACCACCGCCAATCAGTCCTGTCCACGATTCTAGTTGCTCGCCAACAGATGCCCGCGGGACATCGGTGGTATCTTTCCAATGGATTCTTTTCTCGCCGCCACTTCCGTCACTGACGTTCCCTCGCAGCAGCAATAATCCCCAGTCATCGGCACCTCTATTCTCACCAGCAGCTGTCTGGCTGTATTTCCCAACAAGCATGTAAATATCATTTCCCTTCACAACTGTTGTTGGTCGACTCACATCCACTTTCTTCTTCTCGCCTTGGGAAACGCCCTTCTCCAAAACTTTTGTCCCCTTTTCGGCATCCTTAGGAAATTCCTCCTTCGATTCTTTACCCTTATCCATCGTGAGTAGTTGGGATGCAATGCCAATAAAAGTGTTATCCTCAGCATCCTCTTTCCCGCACTGCGCCTCGGCAACGGCAAACACGTCACTCCCCACTTTTAGAAGGCCGGGAACACCCAAAGATTTCAAACTTAAACCATCGTCATTGGCGTTCTTCCATTCAAACTTTGAAACCGTTGACTCCTTCACCTCAGCTTCCGCAGCCACACCAGTGTTGCAGCACATCATCACAACAATGAGAAGCAGCACCGCAGAGTAGAGGAGATGCCGGGACATGTTGGGCCTCTGCGGCTCACTCTCTCCTCCTTCCCTCCTCCTCCCGCTGGATCCGGTCACGCGGCGACGGTTGTGTGTGCGGGGTGCCTTGACAGCAGCAACACGTGAGAGCATATAAATACGTGTGGGCGGTGTGTGTGCTGTTGGTCCTTTCAGTGCCTTCGAATTTCACAGTAGCGATTAGCTTTTAGCCTTACTTCCTTTCCTTTGTGTGTGAGAAAGAAGAGAGAAAATGGAGTGAAACAGTGGGCACCGCCGCCCATCCACAGTGAGTGGCACCATCATCCCCAACGCAGTCACTCCCAACAACAACAACTCACGCGCACAGACACACGGAACGAGAAGGAAGAACAGTGCAAAGAGAACACACAACGACTGTTGCCACCAGCAGGAGCCACGACGGGTGCTTCTGCCACGCGTCAGCGCACACCGAGCTACGTCGACACACAAACCAATCAGCGAGATGCAGAAGGGTACAACTGCCCTTCGCAACACCAACGCGCCATCGCCAGTCGTTTTACTGTTGTCTCTCCCCGCACCCTCCATCGCACATCGCCCCGCACAGCCGGAGAATCCTCCGTCGCTGTATGAACAGCGAGAGGAACACGTCGGCACGTGCAGCTGCCGGGTGAATCCATAAGCATATCTCCCAGGCACCTTTAATGCCGCGCCGCCCACGGGCAGCACGCCAAGAAAATCACGCTCACAGCACGGCAAAAAAATAAAATCGCAGTCTTCCGTCATCCCTCCTCGAAAGGGCCGCCGCTGCCAAAATCTTGTGCGTGTGCGCGTTCTCATCATTCACGCCGCTCCACAGCGTGTGCATGTGTTTGTGTGTTTGTCAGCGCTTATACATGCAGAGCAGCTGTGCGCCACAAGAGAGTCTGAAAAAAGCAACGGCAGAGAGAGGCAGATAGCACACACGCAAATTACTCATATCATCGCACACACACACACACACACACGCAGCCGCGGAATGGGTGCACTCAACCACAAAATCAAAAAGGAAAACAAAACAAAAAGCCGAACCGTGGGACGACCAGCGCACACACACTCTCATTACTCCCGTAAAGCAAAACACACACACAGAGGGAGAGAGAGAGAGGTCGCCCACTCAATGCAATAAAAACAAAACAGAAACAGTTACGGTGCTCCGCCCATGCAGCCAGGCAGGACGGCAGCGGTGCGTGTCGTGCAAAAGAGAGCACCAACGGGCCTGCATGGGTGTGCATGCATATATACAATGGGCACATTATTGTGTGTGCCTCGTGGGGTGAGGTGAGGGCGAGAGTCCATGCAAGGGGACAAACACACAGAGAGAAGGAAGAGTGTGTGTGCGGGCGGTGCACGGCTCTCTCCCTCACTCTCACGCGGCCACCACCGCAGCCGCCGCCGCACAAGCAACAAGAAGAAGAAGCAAAAGAGGGGAGGTGGTGTGGGAGACCGCGGTGCTGCTGTCATTTTCGGCAGGTGTCACCGTATGATTTGTGTTGGCGGTGACTGTTGAATGTGGTGCTGCATCATTCATTTTGACGGTGCTGCTCGCATTTTCTTCGGGCGGCTGCATGGAAGTTGTTTGAGTGGTAGCGGTCGGTGCGGCTGTGGAAGTTTCCAAGGGTTGTTCCAAGGAAGGAGTGACATTTTCAGGCTCCTGCCCCTCTTCTGACGGTGCGGCAACAAGAGTTTCAGCACGCCTCGAATCATCTTCTGTGCGCTCCCCACTATTACGGCTGACGACATCGTCGTTACCCGAATGAGATGGCGGATCATTACTCTGTTGATTTTCAATTGATACATCCTTATTGTCCTCTTGACTGGGTGAAATCCCAGGTTTCCCTGGTTGACCGTCGGGTGTTCCATCTTGCCGTCCTTCGCCCGATGATTGTGAATGTGTTGATGGAACCGTATGTTCGGGGTCGGATTGTGGCTGCTCCGTTGGTGATTCAGGCTCTAAAGCAGCTTGCAATTGCGGGGACCCGGCTGCGGAATTCCCAACGTTGTCCAGCCGTGATTGCTGTAAGGAAACCACTTCCGCCTCACCGGTCACCGTATGACCGCTGGCATTGCCGGTAACTCCAGAACCACTAGCAGGATTATTGCCGGCTTGAGACGCACCACCCGGAGGATCTTGAGTTGTTTCAGAACATCCACCACCGCCGGCACCGCACCACAGCACGCAGAGGGCACACACCAGCAGCACACGGCCAGTCATCATCATCGCCATCACTCCTGTCACTTGCGTGCAGCCTTCAGCACAAACTAACAACACGTCAACGCAAAGTGAAATGAAAAGGAGAGACGAGTCACAGTGACACGCACCGTCCCATCCAGCAACGAGAGTCACGCACCGCCAACAACAATTTGGTTGACGCGGTTCAAAAGCAAAAAAACAAAAAAGAATTAATCCTCGCCCGTGCACCGCTCCTCACACTCCCATGATGTCACTATTACTGTTATTCCCTCTCCTCAGGCCCTCACAGGCACGCCACGCTCACTCCAGCACGCGCCCCTCCAGCACAGGCCTGGGGATCGTCGGGCCCTCCCAGCACACGCAGCCGTCATGCGCTCCCGCCGCGCCGCAACGTACGCCACCTCCTCCCTCAGTCAAGCAGCTCCGTGTCCACCACGTCCCTCACGATCGTCGCCATGCCACGGCCGCGCACAACACACACAGCGCCAAAATGTCGTGCCGCCACTCTGCCCCAATCATGAGCACAACGCACAACGCGTAATGGCGCACGTTTGCCATGCGCTGCAAACACCCGCGGATCAGCCTCATCGTCACGCACTACATCTCGTTGTCCTTGTGGTTGGAGCGGACCTCCCATCCTCTCAATCCACGACCTGGGTGCTGCGAGAGGCTGCCGAGTGGTTCCACGTGTGTGGAAGAAGCAAATGTAAGAAAACAACGGCCACCCTCACACATCTCCGCTCCCTCCACTCATCCGCACGGAAGGGCGGTGTCATGGGGAAGAGAAACCCAACGCACAGCACGCGCACAAGGGCACATGGAATAGCAACGCCATCTACGTCGAACCGCAGTAAAGAGCCATGCGCACAGCACACACACGGCGGCAACAAGAGGGACGGGATGTATACAAGTACAAACCGCAGTCCTTCACTTCTCCCTTCCCCGACGGATTGGCGTCCCACACTCACAGTGAGGCACGGCGCACACCATCCGCTCCCTCCATGTGCACTCAGCAGGCCGGCGCCCAGTCACCCTCGTGCCATCGCAATGGGGAGCACAAAAAATTGTCGTAGCGGACCATCGGTGCCCCTAGCAGGGAAGAAGAAAGAATAAATGAAGGCATGTCAACAGCACGGCCAGCAGAGGGACACTCAAAGGGACACGGAGACACAAAGTGACAGCAGATACGGTAAATACAGAAACAGACAGCAGGAATTTAAGGAAACAAAAAAAAGATGAGGGTCCGGGATAACTCCCAAAATTAAAAGAAAAAAATGAAGTAAAAATTGATTTGGCGGGACTTTTATTTCATGGACCGAGCATCACAAGACGACCAACCGTGTGATCGTGTATATAAATATTGCCCGCACGAAAAATGGAAACAAAAAAACAGATCTTGCTGTTCCACCAGCCCACACAACATCCCTCACATTTCATGCGGCATCCGGCCTTTTCTTCCAATCATCCTTTCGTGCAGTCCGTGGCAGACACAGCCGCAGGGCCGGCAACGCGTGTGGGCAACAACAAAAGCAAAAAAAAAGGGGGAAAACTTCACTCATGACAGTGCGCAGCAACCGAAAATTACAAAAAGAAAAAACGACAGTACTTACTACTTTGGCTAAATTAAGTAAAAAAATATTAAAAAGTAAAAACATCAACAAAATAAACGAACAGTAAAACTAACAAAAACGGTGGTATAAAAAAGCGCGGGCAATGCGGCACGTATTCTCCGTGAGGAGTCGCAGATCCACACTCCGTGGCTCACAGACTGCCACGACCCAAATACAATCCCAGAAGAAGCAGCAACACACAAGACACGCGCACATGCACAGTGTTGTTACCGCTTAAATCACGCAGTGTCAATTTCACTTCGTTGAGAGAGGGCGAGGCGGTCGTCGGGACTCACGCCGCTCCAGACACTGCGAGTTGACTGTTTGTAGTGGGATTCGTGTCCAGGGGCGTTGTGCCCATTCATTTCTCTTCTGTAATATCCCCAGCAATGTGCTCCCTGACGCTGTCAACCACTCGAATCTTCTCGGGCAGTGTCGTAGCCGCTTCCCTCGTCGGAGCGGGGACCCTGTCCTTGAGTGCACGCATCGCAGTGGAATTCAGTGGGCGGTTGTACAGAAAGACGTCCGTCAGCTTCACATGAGATTCGTGCCCACCGCACACGCCAAAGCAAAACCTCAGTACCTCAGGTGGCCTCCCGCCTGCTAACAGCACCTCTTCCGCCCCAAGCGACCGACCATCAATGTGCACAGAGGTCTTGTTGCCTTGCAGCATGAGTGCCACTTGGTATTCTTCCTTCGGCACCCAAGTGCTGGTCCGTGTTGTTGTCTTGCCTTCGATCGACGTGTACCACGTTTTATTGTGGCTGTACGACAGTCCCACAGTATGATTGGACTCAGTGTTCGCCAGCATCGCAGTCAGTGGAAGAGCGTTCCCATTCGGAGCCTATTCGATGGTCACCGACGCCACAAGTGTAAGGTCGTGGCTCAAAAATACATGACGCACTTTATCACCCCGAGTGTTCACGGGCCATATTGCCCTGGACTCAAGTCGCGTCACTTGTAACCCATCGTTTTCCTTCACTGCATTCCTCCACCGTCGCATTCAGAAAAAGGTACTCGTCGTTCCACGTGACATCACTGGCCGCACCGGACGAAACTGCCACCAGACGCGCCGTGAGTGTAGATAAGTTGGAGAAGAAAATGTCCTTTTGCATCCAAGTGCTGAGGACGGACTTGATTGCACTCACTTCCTCCATCAGGCGGGAAAGTGATATGACACGGCATTCACCGTCGCCCCTCCGTTGTAAAAGATGCAGATTGCCGTCCGAGCGCAGCAGGGTGCTGGCGAGCGTTCAATTCGCAGCACTGTCCATGGCAACCGGTCCAAAAGAAAACAAGCGGTTGCTGTCCGTGACCCAAAGGCAGAGCGCAGTGGCCCTTTTCTTCTCCCCCATGGCATGCCCTCTCTGAGTTTACAGCATGACCCTCCTTCCTTCAATGGTCGCGGTGATGAGGGCATCCACACGCAGGCTTTCCTTCTGCGAGACTCCTGATCGTGCGTTGACCCACACGGCTGAGAGTGTCCCGATGGCCTCCGCCCACGCTGTCCCCATGTCACGCGACTCGTACACCCTCTCGCCACTCTCTCAGTCAACAACCATGTGAAGTGATCCCTCCCACTCGGCGACGCGGGGTTAAGGCATTCCGCAGGGGAAATGCCCTCAGAGAACGCCCAGGCACTGCCGCTGTCCGTCGAGCAAATGATCATGGAGCAAACATCTTCTGCTTCATTCTTCACCATCAGAGGAAACACAAGCGTGCCGTCCTCCATCGCAACACCTGCACCACCAGAAGCAATGAACTCCGTCCAGTCACCTTCGTGAGAAGCAGAAGAGATCCGTTTCGGGAGTGGTTTGGGGTCGCCCCATTCGATCCGTCCACTCCGCTTGCCACCCGTGGGATTCGTGACATCGCCCACAACCAGCTTCAGCTCCAAGCCGCCATCTCTCCAGCACACACCTTCGTAGGACACATCAGAGCCTCCCGCAGGAGGAAAAACTCCGTGGCCCTTCGTGATTGTTGTGCGGCGGAGAACAACACCCAAACTCTCCTCTCCCTCCGCTGCACCAACCACAGTGTGTGCCCTCCATGCATCCTTTTATTGACCTCACCAACAGCAGTGGACCAATTCCACACAGAGTCGATGCACCCCGCAACAAAAGCAGAAGAAAAGGGCTTAATTAATTGACCACCTTGATATTCGGCATCCATGTGACCCTCGGCGAAAGCAGCAATTACTCCACCAGCACTGGCAAGGGAGGGTGAAGCAATTGAATCCCTCGTCGTAACTGGAACAATCCCACCCTTCGGCTGCACCAGCGTCGTCTGCGGTACAAATAGATCGATTCCATGCAATAACTCAACATTTATTGAACCACTCATCGCATCATCAACAGGATCCCCTGCGGCTCGGTGACAGGCGTGGGCCTCCTTCCGGATGGTGTCGGAGCCACTTTTGTGTTCCGAACAAAGGCAAACTCAGGCCTCGTCTCGGACGTGTTGGTCGCCGTGTTGGATGCGGGACTCCGATCAACGGTGTTAGGTGCGTCAGCCGCCGCAGACTGTCGCCAATCCTCGTGTTGACGTGACGGCTCAGCATCAAATTGCGGTGCAGTTGTCCCACCAGATTTTGTGTCGTCCTTCCCTTCACGGGATGGCGGCAACTGACAGATGCCCGTACGGTCAGCATCGCCGCTCCGTGCAGGCGGATGGATGGTTCCATCGGGAGGAAATAGACGCCACCACAATTCATAAGGGCCGGCGCATTTATGTGTCGTCACATTCATCGTGAAGGCAACGGTGGTCTCTTCCTCTTCCGTTCCACAGCTGGCAGCACAGTTGCTACATGTGTGCACCGCATTGGCCACACGGCACACAGCACCCAGCTCACCATTCCTTCCATGCATGCGCACATCAAAGCCACTGAACGTATAATTCTCATACTGAGCCTCAGCACCGGCAGCAGAACACTTCTTCCACGCCCACACACACACGCGATAGCTCAGGCTGCCGTCACTCGGAGCACACGAAACATCCACCGGCACAACCACCGCTTCCGCATCACCAGATACATCTCCAGGACTCCCAGCAGCACAAGAGCGCAAGTACCAGCACGGCGCCGCACCGTCACCATCGCAGTCATCATCGCCCGTAGTGGAGTCGCTGGTGTCAGTCAGCTGATCGGTGAGACGGAAGGAAAAGAATGGAACGAGAGGGAGAGGGACGGAGCACAGCGGATACAGCGAGAGAGCGCAGACAACATGAGGAGAGGGCAGCAGGCCCAGCCGCACAGTTCACACACCACGAGACGGCATCCACGCAAGGAAGGCACACAACGCCAGCAGCCACCCACCATGCAGGAGGAGAAGAAATCCACCACCATCTCCCCCAGCTCATTCCCGCAGCCCCAGGGAAATGGCCAAACCCGCGACCACCGCACAACGCACACGGAGCAAGCAAACCCTCATCCATCCATCACGCGGCACAAAATTTCCTGCCATCCCGCCATCAATGGGACACGGAGCCCAACTCAGCGCAGTCACACGCGGTGCATCACACCCGCGGGAAAATAGACTCGGGGTGCGCTCCCTCTCTCCTCCTCATGGCCACGGAAGAAGACAACAGCCGCCACACGCAACTGCCAGCATGCACTACAAAAGGTGCATTCAAATCCACTGCAATGTGCATCGTGTGTGTGTGTGGTTGTGTGTGCCTGCAGAGACACAAAGCAAAGACGCAGAAAAGAGGGAGCAGAGTATGTGGAGGGACGCACAAAAATGTGCAGCGGAGACGCATAACGGAAACAACAACAAGAAGACCGCTCAAACTCATGACTGCACTGCAGCCCAAGAAGCGGCAATTCACACAATATGTATTGAAAACAAAAAAACGTCCCCCTTCGTCTTATGTAAACCCCATCACACAAAATAATTATAAATGAAAAGAAATCGTCCATTACTGCTCCACACAAATTTAAAAATAAGAAAAAAATCGCCTGGCTGCCGTGTGGCCAAACCAAACTGTCTGTATGTATTTTGCCCGCAAAAGAAAATTAAAAAGATGGTTACGTGTGCTTCGACCGTCCGACCCTCCGTGTGTCCGCACATCGTTTATATTTCATGGGGTCATCCGCGTGTTGCTGCTCCCCTCAGCCCTCTCATCGGCGCGTGAGTGCGGCCCGCAGAGCACAGTCACTCGTGTGTGTGGGGACTGAGAGAAGCACGCAGACATGACGGGAGTCGCGTCACTCCATCGGGAGAGTGAGCGCAGCAAAAGAAAAAGAAATCATCGGAGGGGAGAGAAATGCTCACGAGGCCGACACCGAAGGGTGCGCCACCGCATGAAATAAACACGAGAAGCAAAACAAATCCTTAAAGAAAAACACGGCGGCAGGGTGTGGCTGTGTGTGTGGCGCTGCGGGTGTCCGCCAGCCCTGGCCGCAAAGAAAACAAAACAAGAGGGAAGAAATGTGTGCGCCGCCCCACCGGCCCTCGTCGCACGCCCACACGTCACGGCTCCCTCAGCGCGCCGTTCGTCGCGGCCCCTCCTCATGCGTGCAGCAGGCGAGGCGCACAGGGCCGTCGTCATGAGCGTGTCGGTGGTGTGCGAGTGGAGCAGTTGGGCGGAAACACACGGCACCCCTCACAGGAAGAGTGCAGAAGAAACAATTAAAAGAGGGAAGAATAGAAAAGAAAACACGTCCATAGTGATTGCCCCCAAAAGCAAAAAAAGATGGGGGAGTGAAGAAAATGAGATAAAAAACAATAAAAAGTAAAAAAGAAAATGAAGAAAAAACTCACACAACCAGAAAAAACAAGGAAAACATTAAAATATTTCAAAGCAAACAGCAAAGAAAAATTAAAAACAATTAAAACAATCATAAGAGGACAAAAAACAGAAACAGTTACGGTGCTCCGCCCATGCAGCCAGGCAGGACGGCAGCGGTGCGTGTCGTGCAAAAGAGAGCACCAACGGGCCTGCATGGGTGTGCATGCATATATACAATGGGCACATTATGTGTGTGCCTCGTGGGGTGAGGTGAGGGCGAGAGTCCATGCAAGGGGACACACACACACAGAGAGAGAAGGACGAGTGTGTGTGCGGGCGGTGCACGGCTCTCTCCCCCACTCTCACGCGGCCACCACCACAGCCGCCGCCGCACACGCAACAACAAGAAGCAAAAGAGGGGGGGTGGCTTTGACGCCGTCACTGTCGCCAGACGTCGCTGTGGTGGTTTTTATACCCGCAACTTGGAGCGTTCTTTCCTTCGGTTTATTATTTTTATTTTCCTCTTGATTTTCTTCTGTCCCGGCAACATCGGGTTCCGGTGTATTGTTCGGAGTATCTTCTCCAGTGCCCTTGTCCGTTTCGTTATCACCATTATCGCTGGCAACGGTGTGTGTTGGTGTGGCTGGTTCGGCTTGACTGTTAGATGGTTCATCCTGCTCGGTGTCTGCGACTGTGTCAGTGTCCTCCTCTTCCGAATCGTTTGTTGGCCCCGTGTTCACTGAGCCTTCCTCTGAATTTGGCACCGGCACTTCCTCTGCATTGGTGGGTTGCCCTTTCAGTGGCGGTGACGGTGATACTTTTGTTGGGTTTGCTGGTGAATTCGTCAAAGGTGTTCCCGCTAGTGGTGTCGGTGCCTCTTCCGGTGGCGCTTTCGGTGCCTCTTCCGGTGTCTTTCTCAATTCTTCTTCCTTTTCTCTCGGTGCTTCTGGATCTGATACTTTCACTGGAGTTACCGCAGCAGGCGACAGGTTGGTTTTTGGTTTTGGGCAATTAACAACATCATCTGGTTTTCCAGCGTACACTTTGCAAATACCCTCAACATTAGCGTCCTTATTTTCCATGACAGTATTACCGTAAAAAGCGCTACAAAGCTCATTCATTGCATCACGCACACAGCAATTCACGGCTAACTCCTTCAAATCCTCATTATTCTCATACGGATTTTCCACCTTGCATTCGTTCTTCAGCAGTTCATGCCACTTTTGGATCAAATCCTCACGCCAAAAACTTTGGGCACGGGTAGCATCAGGCGCCGACGACACCACCGTCGCAGCACCGCACCACAGCACGCAGAGGGCACACACCAGCAGCACACGGCCAGTCATCATCGTCGCCATCACTCCTGTCACTTGCGTGCAGCCTTCAGCACAAACTAACAACACGTCAACGCAGAGTGAAAGCAAAAAGGAGAGACACGGCCGCTACACCACGCCACAGTCAACGCACAGTGAGAAATTGCAGCAGCAACAGAGCACACACAATGAGGCAGGTGGAATCAGCACGAATGCAAAACTTGCACACCGCCCTGCAAACCAGAAGACTAAAAGGCAAGAAAACAAAAAACTAAAAAAGAAAAAAAACACAAGACTCCACTGCGCGTGCATATGAGTGTGTCTGGGATGCGTTCAACGTGAAGTATTTGGAGAAGAAGCCCGGAGCACACAGCAGGGCAGCAAAAGCAAGTAAAGCAAATCACAATCATTGTTTTATTCTATTATTTATTTACTTGAGACCACAGTAGACGCGCACAAATACCCGCGGTTGAGTGCTGGCACGCACAGCCCGCATACACCTCTTTAGCCCAGAGTGGTGTACGCCAGCGCGGATACGGCGAGCAGCAGCGGGGCACACACCCACGCAGAGCTGCTGAGGCTGCCGTCAATTTCACGAAGGCGTGACGGTGTGCGGGTGGTCGTCGTGGTTGTAGTTGGCACCTCTGTAGTCGTGTTATTTGGTGCCTGTGTTGTAGTGGTGGTGGTACTTGGTGCCTTTGTTGTAGTCGTTGTCGTGGTCGTCGTGGTTGCCTGTGCTGTAGTGGTCGTCGTGGTCGGTTCCTTTGTTGTAGTCGCGGTCGTCTCGGAAGTATCTTCACCTTTCTTATTTTCTTCTTCCGTGGATGGTTTCTTGCTACTTTGTGACCCTGTCGTGTCCTTATTACCCTCTCTCTGTAGGTTGTCGGTCGCGTCATCTGATTGTGTTAATATGCCAGTCGAACTTTTTTCATCACCGTCAACTATTCCAGAGCCGACACCGAACCCCGAACCTGACGAACCCAAGTGACCGGTAACCGGTGATTTTCCTTGTTCCACAACGGACTCATTAGTTGGCGACCCTGACAGATCGGAGCCTTGTGATTCTGTTCCATTTTGTGCCTTTGTAGTATTATTCGTCGTCGTCGTCTTCAACTTATCCGTCGGACCCTCTTCCGCACACACGGACGGGCAGCAGCACAGGGCGAGCACCAACAGGGCGCACAGCAGACGGCACGTAATCATCGTGAGTGTGGCCGTTCAGTGGTGTGGAGCTGATCTGCACAGTGGGGGACATGGAGAGCAACAGGGGAGACGAGAGGTGCGGCAGACACACACACAGAGGGCACACACACATGAGGCGAGGGCAGCAGCCAGGCATGCACCGTACGCCGCACACCACGCACGACACACACTCCAATCCACGGCAGCAGGCACACACACACACAGCCCTGCCGCAACACCAACACACAGATGGAGGAGGGAGAAGCAAACAGGAGCGGCACACAAGGCTCCACCGCATGCACACACGGCGAGAGCGGTCCGTCGTGTCGGCACCCCTCACGGAGGGTACGCACACACACAGGAGGAGGTGCAGCGCACACAGCAGCACAAAAGCAAAGTAGCAATAAAAAAGGAAACCCCGCAAATCACGCGAATTGTTGGTCCACGGGAAGGCTAGCCAATATTCACCGCAAAAACAATTGTTATCTTGTTTTAGCTGTATGCTGTTACAATAACGAGTGGGTAGCGCAAGGGCCGTCCGTACAATAGTGGCAAGCATTCCATCCGAAAGTTGCCGTCGTGCGGGCTGGGGCACTCCCAAGCACTCGCATTCCCAATTGCCAACGGCGGGGGCATTTCTGCAGTGGATGAAGCGAAGTCTTTCGTGGTCCATCTCGAGTGTCCGCGGTTGTGCTTCCTGCGTGTCTTGCCTGCTGGCGTGCTTGGCACTTCTGTGGCGACCTGTGCGCGAGGCGCCTGTTAAGAAGACGGTGGCACCATTCTGGCGTCCGCATCCGAGGCCTTCGCAAACTATCGGAACGCCAGGCTGAGCACGTCGGGCATGTGCCCTCATACTGTGGACGGACGAGCGTACTCTGCTGCAGGTTGGGCAGGATGACATCAATCCGCCGCTCGCTGGTCGGCAAGGAGTTGCGGTGCTCACGTCGGGAAGAGGTTCTGGCGGAGGCAGCGGCGGGCCGGTCACCGCAGTGAGGGAGGGACGGCACCACCGACACAGAGGGTTACTTGTGATACGAAGGGCACGCGCAGGCATGTCGAGGAGTGGGCAGGAATCGCATCGCGCCTGTGCGCAGAGCCGCCACTCGTGGCACGATGTCCGGGTCGTGTCAGGAATACAGTCCCCGCCACACCGACAAGCGCCTCTCATACGGTGCACGCGCCTTCTTTTCTTCTGGGCATCCCTCCAGATCCGTCGCCTCACTGCAGCGAGAAAGTCCACGTGCCAGATTGGGCTGTCCTCCTGCGGGAGGGATCGTGCAATGACTTCGTCGTCAGCGGCCTCATTGCGTGGGATACCGCAGTGCGATGGAGAGAACATGAAGTTTACATAGTGACCTCGCTGCATCAAGGAGAGCAGCACAATCCAACTCTTCAGTGACGTAGTCTCGCATGGCCAGTGGGACGACGCGGAGTGCCTCAGTTCTTGACGGGGAGTCCGTTGCCACCAGGATTCGTGTGGGCGATTGGGATGTTTCCATAAAAAAGGTGTGAGATGTCTAATGCCATCTTCAGTGGCAAGGCACTCTGCTCTATATGAGCATGCGAGCCTGCCAGCTGCTGCACGATGGACCTCCACAGGGAGATCATTTGTCGTGGTGGAGCCGTACAATAGTGCAGCGGATCCAGATGCGAGCTCAGCGAGAGATGAAGAAACGTCTGTCCATAATTCAAAATCATACGCTCCCAGAGAGGAGTAAATAGAATCAAAAGCCATGCGCTTGACGTCGTCAGAGGCGTCTTGGGCAAAGCGTGGCTGATAAATTCCACTTTATTGCAGATCGCACAGTGTCCCAGGGGAAAATTCGATGTTGAATAGGAGGGGCACGATTGTGGCTGTGGAATATCCCAATAATATTAAATACGCGGCGTAATCCATTAATAACAGCATCTCTCGGGAGCGAGATTGATGTCGCCAATTTATTATGCATAGACGGCGGGATAGATTGCGAGTAGATAGAGGAACGCAAATTCTCGTGATCATGGAGGCGTGCATGGCGTTCGTGTTGTGTGGTTTCACGGAAACCAATGTTCCTCCGCAGCGGTGCTGGATTGGCGGTCGGGTGGACAGAAGTAACCTTCTTAGGTACGCTGATGCCAAGGTGTGTTTTACGGCTGTTGCGTTACAGTACTTCCATATTATGGAGGTAAGTGGGGACAAGCATGGGAGAATTGACACGTCACAATGCAGTGACACACCATGGACGTATCTAATCAAAAAGGATTGCATGGTGTGATGGGACGCCCCAGTTTGTGCGACCAGCCGCAGCTGATAGCAGCGTAGCATGGACTGCTTTGCAGCGGTAGAAGCGTGCGGACCAAAATTAAGAAGGCGATTAATCGTTGTGTCCAGCAAGCGCACCGAGCGTGACTGAATGCGTAGGTTCCCGCTAACAAGATGGAGATCGACAATTTCCTCGTCAGACCGTGTGTGTGTTAAGAGATGTAGAATAGAGCAGCTCCGCTCCTATCGGCGTTAATATTCAGGCTGTGCTCGGCAGCCCATGTCGTTGCAGGGGACACGGCAGTTGGCATTGCCGCAGCACAGGCATGGATGTCCGCACCTGAGGCAGCAAGCGTGCGGCCGTCAGCGTGAATGAACGTCGACGCAAAGTGAACGCTGTACAGGCAGCGCAGCAGACCATCCACGTGGTGGAGGAAGAGTTGGGGTCCAAGGGAGCTGCATTGGGCTGCCCCGGCTGAGGCAAGCCGCTGTCAGGGACATTGTTGGCGAGCACACACCGAAACGCCGCCGCCTCGCAGGTGATTGCGCCACCAGCGTTGGGAGCGACGACCCGGGTGCGGTAGCCCGTCGAGCACGGCCAGCACTCGCCCATCGTCCGCGGTGTCGAACGCAGTCGAGATGCCGATCGGGACGGCGAGAGAGCGGTGACGGCGACGGTGCAGCGCGGGACGCCCCTGCGACGCTCGCACTCCACGCTAATGCGCTCGCTCGGCACTCGTGACGTTTTTTCACTCACAGGCGGCGGTGGACCAGTCCTTCGCTCACCCCTAGCAGGGCAGAGAGCAGCGGGATGGGCCGGCAACTCTCTCCGTGCGGCGTGTGTCCTTCCCGTGTCTGTGGAAGCGAGTGTTGTTCCCCGTTTCCCAGGAACCTCGCAGGCTGCCGTCAGCGAGGGAGGTGTTGATCATCGTTCTGTGCGGGCAGCGGTGCAAGATGGCGCAGAAACACATTCAATACGCCGACGGGTCCAGGGGCCACGCCACGCAAACAGTCGCGGATGGCCGAGTCAGGTGCACACGGCGTGAAGGGCCAATTCATATCTCAGCCAACAGAGGGCACGCAAGCACAAGGTGTGCGGACAACGGTGGGGATCGCAGCAAGTGCGACGCGGACAGTGTGACGGACGAGCGGGTGTGCCCGCTGCAGAGGCAGAGCACAGACACGGTCCCAAGAGCACCGCAGCACAGCCGATCCCAGAGGGCAGGGACGTGGTGCCGCCATGCTTCGGAGCATCACAGGCTTGGGCTCGAGAGAGTACCAAGCTCTTTCGCACGGGCCTCTGGCAGCATGGAGAAAACACGGCGAGGGGTATGATTGCGTTCCTCCCATTTTCGGAAAGCCTCAGCTCGTTGCAGGCTGCCGCCGCAACGCACTCGGCCTGCTCCATTCCGTCCGTCGTGATTCCTCTGGTCTGTCACGGCTGCCGCGCGGTACGGTGCCTCGATGCATCTCCAACCATGTGGTCACAGAGGCCAGAGGTGTTACACACGCCGAGGTGGAAGAATCACAGTCAGCTTCACGCAGGACAAGGGCGGCATGTTTCCGTCGTGGCCGCATGCCTGCCTGTCGTGGGATGCCGTCGTCCGTCCCTGCAGTGTGGGATTGCAGATGTTGGTCCGAGTCCATGTAAACTGGTGGACGTACAATGGAAGACACGCAGTACGCGTTGCGCATTCAAATTGGGAAACGAGATGCAGCGGCCGCTGATCCGAGTTGCCTGTGCCGGGTCGTCAGAAAGCTCACACTCCATGCCGCTTGGGGTGGTGGCGAGGTCCTCTCCCGCCGTCGTGGATGGTGATTGACCGTCCCGCAGCTCATGATGTGAATTCAGGTCAACCGCAATAGGCGCTGCAGGAACAAGGCGACGAATGATGCTCGCAGAGTGAGCAGCGTGAGCAATTACTGTAGGGAGGCTGCAGAGGTTCACCGCGTACATGCTGGGGCTGGCCGGTGGGCACACGCGGAGGGCGGTGGTCTCCAGGCAGTTGGTTCCAGCAGCGACAGGCGCTCGCACGGAAAGGTGTGGCGCACCACGAGGGCCACGCCAGCGGCACGCCCACTGCAGGCCTGGTGGAAGTCACTGCAGCCAATGAACCTCGTCACTGGGCACTCTGGTGCCTGCTCTCCTGCAGAAGAGCCATGTCGCGCCGGTGCTGCGCCAGTCAAGCAGCAAGGGCAATCCTGAGGGGGAACGGCCTGAACTTCTGAGATGCGGCTCTTGAGGACACCACCGCAGCAGGTGATGCCGGCGAAGTGACCGCAATGAAACGACTGTGCTGTTCTGTCAGTCGGGCTGCAGGCAAACCGCCTCGCCGCTCCACAACCGACAGTGCATGGGACCTTCTCGAGGGGTGACGCTGTCGTGGTCCCCATCACGCCCGCAGCAATGCCCTGCTGCAATTACTCCAAAAGAGACAACCAAGAGTCTTGTGGACGTGTGCAAAGAGTACAGCGACCGTGATTGCCAGAGACGGCCATCGTGGCACCGTCCGTCACGCGTCAGCACACACCGAGCAACGCACGCACCCAGCAAAGCAAACACATAGGGGAAAGAAGAATGACCCAAGAGCATGCAACTCCACACATGGCGGACATCGTACAGCCACGTCAGTCGGCCTCCAGCACCATGCAACAAACGTACCACACGCATCCATCCAATGACACCGTGATTCCCACCGCCAACGGTAGACACGCAGCGACCATACTATGTCAGCACGGGATGCAGGCCAACGTCCCACCGTCGCCAAGACATTCCTGCAGAGCACTGCGCAACTAAGTATGTGTGTGTGCTGGAGGAGCAGAAGAGAAGAGGAGCACAGGGAGGCACATCAACACAGCAGCGAGAAATGTGGCACGGCCCCGACATCAACAATCACGCACGGTGGCAACGCACTCACATCCACACAAGAACAAAAAAACAAAACAATCCTTAAAGAAAAACACGGCGGCAGGGTGTGGCTGTGTGTGTGGCGCTGCGGGTGTCTGCCCGCCCTGGCCGCAAAGAAAACAAAACAAGAGGGAAGAAATGTGTGCTCCGCCCCACAGGCCCTCGTCGCACGCCCACACGTCACGGCTCCCTCAGCGCGCCGTTCGTCGCGGCCCCTCCTCATGCGTGCAGCAGGCGAGGCGCACAGGGCCGTCGTCATGAGCGTGTCGGTGGGTGTGCGAGTGGAGCAGTTGGGCGGGAAACACACGGCACCCCTCACAGTAATAGTGCAGAAGAAACAATTAAAAGAGGGAAGAGTAGAAAATAAAAAAAACGTCCATAGTGATTGCCCCAAAAGAAAAAAAAGAAAAGAGAAATGAGAGAAAAGAACAATAAAAAGTAAAAACAAACTCAAAAAACAGGGAATAAAATAAAAGAAATGAAGAACGAAATCGCTCAAACAGAAAAACAAAAAAAAACGTTCAAAATATTTCAAAGCAAACAGCAAAGAAAAATTAAAAACAATTACAACAATCGTAAGCGGAGAAAAAACAGAAACAGTTACGGTGCTCCGCCCATGCAGCCAGGCAGGACGGCAGCGGTGCGTGTCGTGCAAAAGAGAGCACCAACGGGCCTGCATGGGTGTGCATGCATATATACAATGGGCACATTATGTGTGTGCCTCGTGGGGTGAGGTGAGGGCGAGAGTCCATGCAAGGGGACACACACACACAGAGAGAAGGACGAGTGTGTGTGCGGGCGGTGCACGGCTCTCTCTCCCTCACTCTCACGCGGCCACCACCGCAGCCGCAGCCGCACACGCAACAAGAAGAAGAAGAAGCAAAAGAGGGGAGGTGGTGTGGGTTGCATCCGTGTTTTGACTGTAGTTCTTCTCATTTGCTGAATTTGTCTTTGGCTGTTGAGTTTTTATCCCATGCGTTGTTGTGTTGGATACTTCCGAGAGTGCTCCTCCACTGCGTTGGGATTCTGTATTTTGGTCCCCTGATGATTTTTTTGTCTCGTTCGTTTGTGAATGGTCATTTTTCTGTTGTTCTTCCAAAGAGTCTTGGAGTTCGTCTCCCGCGGCGTCGTGGCCAAGACTGTGACCCCCTGCTGAGGCAGAATTGTTTCTTTGCTTTTCAGTGTTGGATGACACCGTTGGCTGTCCTTCGGGCGAAGAGGTGCCCTGACTCCCTGTTTCCTTTTGTGCCAAAACTTCTTCTGGGGATGCAATCCGCTCATCGGATGAAACACTGACCGGGGCTGTTTTTCCATTGCCACCTTGACTTGAGGAAATAACGGCAGAGCGAGAGTCCGGAGGTTCACTTCCACCACCAACAGAATGGCCAGCACCGGGAACAGCAGGAACAAGACCGGAAAAAGCAGGACCATCACCAGCGCCCGCAGGACCATGACCAGGAATACCGGGACCATGACCGGGACCAACAGGACGATGACCAGCAGCACCACGAGCAGAACCAGGGCCAGGAATAGCACCAGGAATGGCAGCACCGGGATCAGCAGCATCATGAATAGGAGTACCAAGACTGGAAAAAGCAGCAGCACCGGGACCAGCAGTACCATGAATAGGAGTACCATGACCGGGAGCAACAGAACCAGGAATATTAGCATCAGGACCGGGAAAAGCAGGATCACGAAGAGGACCAGGACCAGCAGCGGCAGCACCAAGACTGGAAAAAGCAGCAGCACCATCACTGGAAACAGCAACACCAGGAATAGGAGCATCAGCAGCACGAACAGGAGCAGGAATAGCACCAGGGCCATCACTGGGAACATCAACACCGGGAATAGCAGCACGAAGACCGGGAACAGTGGGACGGGGAATGGAGGCACCACGATCGGAAAAAGCAGGACTAAGACCCGTGGCTCCACTTAAAGGTAAATTAGTAACTCCTGGAGAAGAAACTTCTTCACGAGCTTCGGCTTGCATAGCAGAGATAAACGATGCTGACAGCAAAAGCGGTGTGGATAAGTTTTTAATAGATCCGTTTGACAAAAACGACGTATTCCTTCCAAACCCTCTCGACGCCATGTAGCCGCCCAGTGAATTGTTGTCAGGGTTCCTCGCATAAACCCTACCGGCACCGCACCACAGCACGCAGAGGGCACACACCAGCAGCACACGGCCAGTCATCATCATCATCATCACTCCTGTCACTTGCGTGTAGCCTTCAGCACAAACTAACAACACTTCAACGCAGAGTGAAAGCAAAAGGCAGAGACAAGTCACAAAATAACACGCACCGTAAACAACGGCAGCAGCCCTGCAGAGGAATGCACACCGACCCGCACACCAGAAGTAAAAAAGCAATACCAAAACGAAAAAGAGTAGTTGAGTGCCCAACAGGAGTCTCCTCCTCCAAAAAAAATACACTTCAGCAGAATCATCATTTCATACGCCATGCAGCAAAGCAGGACTGTGTTTATATGTACATGCGTACAGTGCCTGCACAAGGAAAAAATTATTACTGTTCCACAAGCCCACACAACATCCCTCACATTTCATGCGGCATCCGGTCTGTCTCTCCACTCCTCCTTTTGTGTCGTCCGTGGAGCGCACAGACGTGGGGCCTGTACCGCGTGTGGGCAACAGAAGCAATCAAGAGGGAAAACAATTCGCTCATGACGGTGCGCAGCAACCGACCATTAAGTAAAACTAAAGAAAAAGGTACTCCCATTGTTCCATGTAAACAGCATTAAAAAGAACATCAAAAAAAGAAAGCCCGCAGGGAACGCGGCAAATATTCTCCGTGAGAAGTCGCAAATCCACACTCCGTGGCTCAGAACACTGCCACAACCACACACAGTCCCAAAAGCAGAAGCAGCAGTGGTGTTTCCACACACGAGGTGATACGTTCGCCGCTGCTCACCGTCGGCAAGGACAAGTCACCTTCGAACCAGACGTCTCTACTCTCTTAGATCTTTTTTTTGTTTAAAGAAGATGTGGTCTGTGTGGCGCTGCTGCACGCATCGCTGTTTGTGGGCTCCTTAGTGGCGGGGCGTGTGCTCGAGGACCATGGATACAGTCCCATCGCCCGTACACATCGGTGGTATTGGACGTAATGATGTCATTATATTTTTTTTCCTACTCTTACCGGCATGTCTAGCTATACAATGCCATCTGAGTGCCGAAGAGGTGGTCGAGCAGCAAAATGAGTTTCCTACTATGAGGCAGCTGCCATTGAGAGAACTTTCCGAGGCGAAGGTCCTGTTCAATGCCCAGCCGTCGACGCACAGCCAAGGCGCCTGGACATTCTAGAAGCAGATGGTGCAAGATTTCCTGCGGGCCAATTGGCGTGCTTGTGGAAGCTGGCTGATCCTGCGGCAGCAGAGATCGCCTCCTGGCACTGCTGTTTCGATGCCGTGTGGCGTCTGGGTTGTGTGCGCAGCGATTTCTGTGCGGTGCGGTGCTTCTCCGTGTGGGGAAAACCATGTCACAGAAATCACATTTGAGCTCGGGAAGCGGTGGAGGATGTTCCGGGTGAAATGACCGACAGTGACTGACGAGACCCGAGAATCCCGTCAATGTAGAATCACAGTGCGGACATTTCTCCTTCCGACGGCGTGTGAGGGTCCGTCCCCTTACTGGAGGGACGTCTTCCTCCCTCGCCGACGGGGGAACAGTGTCCGTCCCCGGTGCGGTTGGATCGTTGTTAGAGCGCATATATGCAGACTGTTCCGGTGAGATGTTGCAGAATCGGCATTGGTTCGTGCAATCTCTCACAGCCCAGTATAGTCGACCCCAGAGCTCAGATTCCCCGCACCTTGCCCTTGCGAGGTGAACCAGTTCCTGACGGTGTAGAACTTCCTGAGTGATCAGGTCCTTACCGCTGAGATCGGATGGCCTTGTGCCGCAAAGCAAGTAGCGATGAGTGTCTTGACGAATGGTACCACGCCACTTGTTGGTGAGCTGGGCAGTAAAACATGTCAGCAGATCCGTATGCCATAAAGGTGCGATTCCTTGCTCCGTGTATTGTCCACTTTCCATAGTCTGCGTCGCATACTGATCTGCAAGCTCGTTAGCATGTACTCCACAATGTCCGTAACAAAACTGCAGGTGCACGGACCAGCCAGCACACGTCAGTGTCAGGAGACGCTGCCAGATCTGATCCTCTGTCCAGTCTGTCTGACTGAGCGGGCCCTTGTTTAGAGCCGCTAGAAGAGACTGACTGTCCGTAACCACAAGCAGGGTTTTACGCCTGTGTTGGATACGAGGGATCATCAGCTTCTCCAGGGCTAGAAGCAGCGCACGGGATTCCGTCCTGTAGCTGCATGGGCGTGCACCGCAGTTTATGCTGGCCTTTTCTATTATCTCCGATGAGTTGAGGGATGAAAGCAGTATTCCAACCCCTGCTGACTTGGGAACGTCGACACCGCCATCGGTCGCAAGTATCCACGAACGATGGCTGTGCAGCGCCAGAGCCTCTTCGCTGACTCTGCGCTTTTCCCGTACCAGCTCTTCTTCGTCAGTTATTGAGTGGTCTATCGGAAGTTCCACACCGATGGTGACCCGGCGAGCGGAGGCCGCAAACCAGGGAGGAATGGAGCTGCGAAAGAACCGCTCTTCGCGTGGTGAGCTCTCGGTGATGCCATAGTCCTTTGCGTATGCGTCTACGAAGGCACATAGCTCGTCCCGAGATAATGGCGAGATGCGGAATCCGGCGCGAGGCGGTGGCTCAGGCGGGGGTCTCCGCATCCAGTCCATCTGACATGCGCGTGTGTTCTCAAATATCGAGAGCCGTGCGCTCAGGCAAAGGACGTGGAGCGGCGGCATATTAGCCTCCAGTAGCGCGGATTCCGGGCCGACAGTGCTCGGAACTCCGCTGGCAATGCGTGCCAGAGTTGCGTACGTCTTCTGCATCTCATTCTTCGCCGAATCCGTCGCTGCTGCCCATATGAGCTCGCTGCCATAGCGTAATTTGGAAGCACCGTATCCAATGACGAACGTGCGTAGGTCATGTGGAGATGGTCCCGCCTCTTTGTGCGCTATGCAGCGTAGCTGCGATATCCGTTGCGAAGTGGCAGCGCATTGCTTGGTGGCCGCCACATTTAGCGTCAGTCGTGGATCGAGATCCATGCCGAGAAGCTTCGTAGTTCGCGATGCCCCCATGGTCATGACTGGGATTTGACATCCAGCCACTACCAGGGGCCACTTTCCTTCACGATCATAATCTGATTCCGTGTGCGTGGAGAGTGTGAACCAAGCAGCTTCACGCTTTGACGGGTTGATGGCCAGGCCATTTTCCTGACTCCACGCATGCAGCTTTTGAAGAACCATGTTGGCAGTGGGAATGGCGTCTTCCCGGGACTGCCCCTTAACGATAATAGAGAGGTCGTCCGCATACATGTCTGCTGTGACACCCGCAAAGCTGTTCAGCAGACTGAGAAGTGGGTGTGCGTAAAGGGAGAACAAATACGGTCCCAGCACGGACCCCTGAGGAACTCCTCGCAGCATGGGACGCCGATCGCTGTGTCTGTGGCCAACTCGTGTCTTCGCGTAGCGACCACATAGAAAGTTTCTAAGCCACCCTCTACAATTCACCCCCGGAATATTAGCCAGCAAGCGACTGAGGACTCGATGATCTATGGAGTCAAAAGCCCTGCTGAAATCAACCAGCACCAGCAGGGTCCGATGGGGTCTGTAGTGGAGTTGATTGCCAACACCGCTCTTCTTGGGAAGGTTCACTTGGAAATAATGATTTCTATTATGCTCCACTTCGTGTATCAGGTGTGCCAGCTGCATCGTCGTGGTACGCATACTACGATATGCATACTGGTGGGGGTGCGGCGTCCACACCCAAAGCAATCTCTTCAGTACCATTTTCTCAGCAACCTTACTCACAATGGAAGTAAGGCTGATGGGTCGATATGACTCAAACAGTTCCGGCGACTTACCGGGTTTTAAGAGTGGAACGATGGTAGCGCGTCTCCACTCAGCCGGAATCGTACCGGTCGTCCAGCTGTGGTTAATGCAGCGAAGAAGGAATCGGAGGCCCTTTGACGAAATATGTCGCAGTGCCTCACTGTAGACTTCATCCGGTCCGGGGGCCTTGCCATACGGCGTATTACGTAGCGCAGCAAGCAGTTCCGTACGATTAAAAGGTGCATCAAGAGGGGAGTGAAGATGAGCAACTAAACCGGATGTGGTGGCAGCTTCGTTTTTATCCTGTGGCTCAGAACTAGATGAGAGTGAAGAACCTGAAGTAAATGAGGCAGCAGACTCGTTGTTGTTCTGCTGCCCAAAAAGAAAAGAAGCGTTAATGTTCAAAGATGCACTCTGTCTGTTGATGCCTTTGGAAAACCTAACTGCCTTGTGAGAGGGGTGAAATGGAAGAAAGATGCGATTGAGAGCATTCGCTGCTCTCCTTGCTGTTTTATAAGTGTGTTGACCATCTCCTAATAAAATTGATGTGGGAGATGGAAGTGATGCCTTTTTTCGTCCGGAAATGTATTTCCAAGCGAGTGGCTCGCCTGGATTTAACTTGCTGATGCGGCGTAGATACGTGTTGCGCAAGCGCTCTCGGAGTAGGAGGAAGAATTGACTCCTTGTCCGTTGCATGTCTGCCTCACGGTCGGGCGTCGGTAACTGTAGATAGCGGGCCTTGCTGTCCGTAGCAATCCGCTCTGCCTCCATGAGAGTGTCGTCCCAAAGCCTGGGACCGTCCTTGTGCATGCCGCGGGGGCAATGTCGTCGATACGAAGTTATAAGCGCTCTCGTGAAGGCCTTAATGCCGGTGGACTGCTTTTTATAGTCATATGCCGGAAGTTGTGCGTCGAAGTCCTTAATGAATAAATCCCACTTGCACTTCCCCCAACTGTGGAATATCCTAGGTGCCGAAGGTATGGTATCCTTAAATGCCTGATGCAGCGTGAATGTCAGCATATAATGATCACTAAGCGGCGACACAGAAGCTGACCAATCCGACACAGTCAAATGCTTTGAACATGTCAGATCGATACAGGATCGTTCTCTTGTGCCACGGGCATACGTGATCTCACCAGGGGTGTTAACCAAGGTGAGTCCCGCATCCGTGCACAGTTCTAAAAATTCTGCAGCAACCTCGCTTGGAGAAGTCTCCAAGAATGGCTCCCACTGTGGGTGATGCATGTTGAAATCCCCGCACAGCAGGAGCGGCGACGAGGCTGGAAGGCAGTTTACTAACCGCCTGAAGGATTGCGTTACTTGCGGTGGTGGTCTCATATAGGCACTCGCTACAATAAGATCACGGTTCTGGTCCAGAGCAACCTGGACCACCACCACTTCATGGCTGGTGTCATGCTGGGGGATGGTGAGGGGTATACGCTTGGAGCGGAGAGTTTTCCGCACCAGCACCGCCACACCGCCTCCCTTGCCGATGCGCGACTGTGCATAGAGCACATAATCTCCAGTGTGCATGCTGGCGATCTGCTCTGACGACTTCCAAGTCTCCTGAATGGCTATTATGTCTGCTCCTTGCGCCATTAATGTTGCGAGTTTTGACGGCGTGAGGCAAGAAACGTTCATCTGGAGTACTGCTATGGGGCCTGGGTTCTGCCCAATTTCTCCGCTTAGCAGTAGCTTTTGTCGTTGCGCGTCACATACGGCACGCAAACGGTATGTGTAGCGCTGATAAGCGCCGATGGAATTCAGCAGCGGATAGAAATACCGCTCCGCGGGCAACCATGTAAATGGCTCCATCTGGTGCCCTTCTGACCCGTTTGTGCGGCGCCTCCTCCATCTCCGCGTGCAGCGGATGGGCAGCAGGCGCTTAGCTTCCTCTCTAGCAAAGAGTACTAGACCCTGGCACCACGTTGAGGTGGCCGGCTGAGCCAGGGGCCGCTCCAGATCGTGCAACGTCACATTTCTTGATGCGTTTTTGGTGTTCCGGGGACGTTGTGACCATTCATTCCTCCCGAAATTTTCCCAGGAACGCGCTCGCCGCTGCCGTCAACGGCTTCAATCTTACGGGCATCCTTCGAGCCCACTGCCTTCGTCAACGCGGTTGCGGGCGCATTGTTCGTCTCAAATGCATTCGGATCCATTTCTATGTTCCGACTCATGGCAATGCTAGGCTTCCTCTTGGGTGGTGTCGGAGCCACGTTTTCTTTCGGATCGGTGGCAATGCGAGGCTTTTTCCCACACGTGTTGGTCGCCGTGTTGGATGCGGGACTCCGATCGACGATGTTGGGTCCGTCAGCCGCCGCAGACTGTCGCCAATCCTCGTTCTGACGTGACGGCTCAGCATTCACTTGCGGCACAGTTGTCCCACCAGATTTTGTGTCATCCTCCCTTCACGGGGTGGCGGCAACTGACGGATGCCCGTCCGGTCAGCATCGCTGCTCCGTGCAGGCGGATGGATGGTTCCATCGGGGAAAATTGACGCCACCACAATTCATAGGGCCGGCGTATTTATGCGTCGTCAAATTCATCGTGAAGGCAGCGGTGGCCCCTTCCTCTTTCCGTTGCACAGCTGGCAGCACAGTTGCTACATGTGTGCACCGCACTGGCCACATGGCACACAGCACCCAGCTCACCATTCCTCCCGTGCATGCGCACACCAAAGCCACTGAAAGTGTAATTCTCATGCTGAGCCTCAGCACCGGCAGCAGAACAATTCCTTCACGCCCAAACGCCCACGCACGCGATAGCTCAGGCTGCCGTCACTCGGAGCACACGACACATCCACCGGCACAACCACCGCATCCGCATCACCAGATACATCTCCAGCACTCCCAGCGGCCGACACGCACAAGAGCGAACTGCCAGCATGCACTGCAAAAGAAGCATTCAAATCCACAGCAATGTGCATCTTGTGTGTGTGTGGTTGTGTGTGCCTGCAGAAACACAGAGCAAAGAAGTAGAAAAATGGAAGCAGAGTGTGTGGAGAGACGCACAAAATGTACAGCGGAGGTGCGTGGCGGAAGCAACAAGAAGAAGACCGCTCAAACTCATGACTGCACCGCAGCCCAAGCAGCGGCAACTCACACAAGATTTATTTAAAACAAAAAAGCTTTCCCCTTCAACTTACACAAACCCCACCACACAAAATAATTATAAATAAAAGAGAGAAATCGTCCATTACTGTTCCACACAAATTAACAAAAGGCAGCCGGCTGCCGTGTGGCCACACCAAACTGTCTGTATGTATTTTGCCCGAAAAGAAAATTAAAAAGATGGTTGCGTGTGCTTCGACCGTCCGACCCTCCGTGTGTCCGCACATCGTTTATATTTCATGGGGTCATCCGCGTGTTGCTGCTCCCCTCAGCCCTCTCATCGGCGCGTGAGTGCGGCCCGCAGAGCACAGTCACTCGTGTGTGGGGACTGAGAGAAGCACGCAGACATGACGGCAGTCGCGTCACTCCATCGGGGGAGTGAGCGCAGCAAAAGAAAAGAAATCATCAGGAGGGAAAAGAAATGCTCACGAGGCCGACACCGAAGGAACTGCCGGCGCGTGAAATAAACACGTAAAAAGAAAAAAAAACATACACGGTGATTGCCCCAAAAGCAAAAAAAAAAAAAAAAATGAAAAAAGAATTTTGAAACAGACAGAAAAAAAATTAAAAAAATTAAAACAATAAAAGAAGAAAAACAAAAAGCCGAAGCGTGGGACGACCAGCGCACACACACTCTCATTACTCCCGTAAAGCAAAACACACACACAGAGGGAGAGAGAGAGAGGTCGCCCACTCAATGCAATAAAAACAAAACAGAAACAGTTACGGTGCTCCGCCCATGCAGCCAGGCAGGACGGCAGCGGTGCGTGTCGTGCAAAAGAGAGCACCAACGGGCCTGCATGGGTGTGCATGCATATATACAATGGGCACATTATGTGTGTGCCTCGTGGGGTGAGGTGAGGGCGAGAGTCCATGCAAGGGGACAAACACACAGAGAGAGTGAAGGACGAGTGTGTGTGCGGGCGGTGCACGGCTCTCTCCCTCACTCTCACGCGGTCACCACCGCAGCAGCAGCCGCACACGCAACAAGAAGAAGAAGCAAAAGAGGGGAGGTGGTGTGGGAGACCGCGGTGCTGCCATCACTGTCGTCCGTATTTGCGGTGTGATTTGTTTGGGCGGCGGCGATTGTTTCTGTTTTTTGTGTTGTTGCCTCACTCATTGTTGTGGAAACTTTGGTTTTGCGAGAATCGGAGTCGTCGTGTGATTTGTTAGGGTTGGGCCGTTGAGCATCATTCTCATCAGCCTCACTCTCGGCTTCACCACTGCCACTTGTAGAAGTGGATGGTGCTGTATTTCTCGCTTGACTTCCCGCAGATGCATTCAGCATCGAATCCGGTGTGGTTGTTTCTTGACCATGTTGCTCTGAGAAAGCATCTTTTAATGGCGGCTCAGGTGCACTGGACTCCGTTTTGGTTTGTAACAGTGACTTATCATGCGATTCTTGTGATGGATTCCGTGAATCTGTTGGTTCTATTGTTCGACTTCCATTCCTTGATGACGGTTCTGCGGGTGCTGGTGGTCGCGCTGGCCCTGTTGGTGCAGTTGGGCCTCCTCCTTCTGTCGGTGCTGTTGTTTGTACCTGCAATTGTTGTGGCGGTGGTTTTTGCGATAGTGACTGTTGTGTCCCTTTTACTACTTCCTCTGCTGGTGGATACGCATCTTTTTCCTTTTCTTCTTCTGGAGTTTCTTCTTGAGATTCTTTTTGCGTTGACTGCTCTGAAAGCCTTTCGTGATTTCTTGAATTTTCAACATCTTCTGCAACGTTTTCCTGTACTCCATCTTCGTTTTGATAATTTTTTTCTCCCCTTCCTTCCGAATATGCTCCCGGAATCCTTTCTTGTGATACTTCACTTTCTGGTACCATTGGTAGTGGACCTGATGTGCCTATTCCTGTCGGTGAAGGTGGTGCTGGTCCCGGCCCGCCATTACCGTCATTCGAACGACCAACAGGAGAAACGACAACAATTGCCGTATCCTCCCCTTCATCACATCTACTGCCGGCACCGCACCACAGCACGCAGAGGGCACACACCAGCAGCACACGGCCAGTCATCATCATCGCCATCACTCCTGTCACTTGCGTGTAGCCTTCAGCACAAACTAACAACGCGTCAACGCAGAGTGAAAGCAAAAGGAGAGACAAGTCACACAGCCACGCAGAATAGCAAATGATAACAGCAATAGAGCACACACCATGAGACAGAGGGAAACAGTGGGAGAGAAAAACGTACAATGCCCCGCAGCAATTAAACAGTAATAAAACACTAAACAAGTAAAAACAAAGCAAAAGAAAACAAACAGCAACACCAAATGGATTCTGTGCACATGCGCCCATCCACAATTATGTGCCCAATTAAGCAATCCTGTGTGTGCCATGAATATGAGTGTGTCTGGGATGCGTTCAACGTGACGGATACAGGGAGCAGCAACGCGGAGCACACAGCAGGGAAGCGAAAGCAAATGAAGCAAAACACAATCATTATTTTCTCTTATTTATTTACATCAGACCACAGTAGACGCGCAAAAATCCCGCAGTTGAGTGCTGGCACGCACAGCCCACATACACCTCTTCAGCCCAGAGTGGTGTACGCCAGCGCGGATGCGGCGAGCAGCAGCGGGGCACACACCCACGCAGAGCTGCTGAGGCTGCTGTCGACTTCGCGAAGACGTGACGGTGCGCGGGTGGTCGTCGTGGTTGGAGTCTCTGTAGTTGTGGCCTTACCAATTGGTGCCTGTGTTGTAGTGGTGGTCGTGGTGGTAGTAGTTGGTGCCATTGTTGTAGTCGTGGTCGTCGTATTTATTGCATTTGGTTTCTCATTTTGTTCATTTGCCTTATCGGTATTAGTATTTTCTGTTCGTTCCTCAGTAGATTTTCCATCATCTTCTTCCTTTGTCTTATTGAGATTACTTTGTGGTTCTGCCGCCTCTTGCATTGTACCAGTTGTCTGTGACGTATGAAGCACCGTATTTCCTGCGTGCTCCGTCCCCTTTTTCTCCTTTTTCGTCTCTGGCGAAGGAGAAGCTTTAATAGGCAATTCCGTTACCTGCTTTGGTTCCTCCGTCCGATTATCCTCCAGATTAGAACCCTTTTCAGATCTTTCTTCTTTAACTCCACTCCCTGCCGCCGTCACGCACGCGGACGGGCAGCAGCACAGGGCGAGCACCAACAGGGCGCACAGCAGACGGCACGTCGTCATCGTGAGTGTGGTCGTTCAGTGGTGTGGAGCTGATCCGCACAGTGAGGGAAATGGAGAGCAGCAGGGGAGACGAGAGGTGCGGCAGACACACACAGAGGGCACACCACATGAGGAGAGGGCAGCAGCCAGGCATGCACCGTACGCCGCACACCACGCACGACACACACTCCAATCCACGGCAGCAGGCACACACACACACAGCCCTGCCGCAACACCAACACACAGATGGAGGAGGAAGAAGCAAACAGGAGCGGCACACAAGGCTCCACCGCATGCACATACGGCGAGAGCAGTCCGTCGTGTCGGCACCCCTCACGGAGAGTACACACACACAAGAGAAGGCGCAGTGCACACAGCAACACAAAAGCAAAGTAACAATAAAAAAGGGAGATCCCCGCACACCACGCGGATTGTTGGTCCACGGGAGCGCAGCCAATATTCATCACAAAAACAGTTCAGTTACCATCGGCCTTCGTTCATATTCAGCGCACACCACTTCATGCAGGCCCGGCACCACCACCGCAGCAGCAGCACGCATACGTGAAAATAAGCCCAGGGAATAGAAGAGTGCAGGAAACCATTTATTTGTGTTCCTGTTTGGATACTGGCAGATGCCTGCATGCGTTGTTTTGTTTTTGCGGAGGGTAAATCTTAATGCCTGGATCGTGTGTTGGGGATTTCTGCGGGGTGCGCAATTATTTATTTTTTCCTCTCGTGAATGTTTCTTGTGTTGGTGCAGCCAATAATTCGGTGTCAGTCGTTCCTGCCTTTCGCTGGTAAAGTGCTGCAATAAAGAATAATCTTCTGAGCCGCTGGCCAGGTTCTGCGTTTCTCAATAATAGAAACCAAAAAAGATGGAAATAAGTAAGGGATCAACGGAATAAGAGTGGATTCACCACATCCTCAAAGTTCAGCACCAGGTGACTGTATGTTTATACACCATCCGTCAGCCACAAGCGTGGCCCGCTCACTCTATTCGGGTAGGATACATGTATTTATGTATTACTTACGACGTGGCTGACTTTTGGGGTCCTGCAGCCACAAGACCACGCCGCGTGGTGGGAATTAAAAGGGGGCGGGTGCGATGGTAAAAATAAAAATAAAAATTATCCGGCCTCTGTCGGCTCCCTAAAGTCGTGGCCTCCCAAAACTCATACGGCAGAAAAGTGTCGTGCAGAAGTGTATATTCGTTTTGTCAGGGTATATATACACATTCATTAAGGCAGCCAGCTCTCCCGCGATCATTCTCTACGCAGGCTCCTAAAAGAGGCTCAAACACACCCACAAGACTCCCAGCAAGAAAAAAGGGAAACACGGCGTGACTGACACGACTCAAAGTCATGTTTCTAAGACAATGCGTGAATGACTCCGTCGACGCCACACCCGCACCATATGCCGCCAACTCCTCCACGGCAATAATCCTGCAGCGTGCGGAGAGGACGTTTCACGAGTGCATTATTGGCGGAGCCAAACAACTGTACCGTCAGCAGAGGGCAGCGAGCAGCGGGGTAAAGTGAAGGTGCTGGGACTGTTGGGGAGGGTCGATGCGCAGTGTCCCTCACAAATACGAGGCGGGTGAAGTGAAACACACTCGCCTGAACGTCACCGGCCACCAAGATGCATTGCTCCCCGCCGTAAGATTGATGAGCTCCAGACTGGGGCAACTACTCGCAATGCGTGAAAGTGTCTTCCTGCACTGACGCTGCGATTCACATCAGACGGGCAACTTCGGAACAGTCGATCCCCAGCAGTAAAATGCAGCTGGCAGTGACGCTGTGGATTATCGATTCCACAGGCAACGAAGGGCGGGGAAGACAACTGGTCTCCCCAGCTGCGCGGCATCCATCCATTCACTCTGTGCGTCCGGAGTGCCCCGCAGCTGCCTTGTGAGATGCGGCGGACAGACCTCCCTCATTTTCGTCTCGATCCGTCGACGAAGACTTTCGCGGAGGCGTCGGCACACACCGAAGTCTCCCTCGTGCCAGCCAAACAAAAGACACACCCGTTGAGCATCGTCACGTGCATCGACGGCCACGCAAATAAACATCCACCGCAACGCAAAGTGTTTCTTATTGGGCACCAATATAAAACCGGAGGCGGCGGCCTGGACAACACAGACATCAAATCATCCGCCAGGCAACGCTGAGATACATGCGAAAGGGCCAACGCGGGATTGGCAGCACAAACACTCGAGAGCTGCTGCGTGAACTCCACGGCAAGTGGATCAGCCTCAACGCATGGGACACTAATTACGGCGGGTGACAGCGCGAAAGCCAACGGTTGCGCAAGGCCGGGAATTGTGGAGACGGCATTCAAACCCTCCTGGTATTCGTGTACAAAGACACGCAGATAATCCACCCCTCGGTGCAAGTCGTCACCACAATCCTCATCGCTCTCTTTGCCGTCATTCGTATTGTCACACTCAGAGCCGGTGAGGGAAGGTGCTGCCATCATGATTGTGACATCACACTGAATGAAAGAACACAATGCCTCGAAGGGTGCCGAGTGCAGGCATCCCGTCAGGTGGCGACACGGCGCACTCTTATCAATGTATGAAGCAAAGGCAACGAAACAGCTCTCATCCGCCATCGTAATCTCGTCCAGCAGGTTCGATCTCTTGTTCCTCAGCGCCTCGTCCCTCTCCGCAGCACCAACAGCCGCTGCCATAGACCACGCTGCTGCCGCACTCACTCCCACAGAGAGACGGAGGAGCGTGTGGATGTGTACCGAGAACACAGCGACTGTCATCGTCAGAGGAAGCCATCGAGCAGCGTTATCATTTCAGCACGGAACGCAAGCCAACGTCCCGCAGTCGCCAAGGCCTCGCTGCGGAGCACAGTGCAAATACTTATGTGTGTGGGCGTCTGTTGGAAAAGAAGAAGGAGCACAGGGAGGCACATCAACTCGGCAGGAAGCACAGCTGGATGGCAGCAATACATGCGGTACGGACCCAACCTCAACAATCACGCACGGTGGCAGCACACACAAATCCACAAAAAACAAAAAAAGAAAGAAAACAAAAAACACGGCGGCAGGGTGTGGCTGTGTGTGTGGCGCTGCGGGTGTCTGCCAGCCCTGGCCGAAAACAAAACAAGAGGGAAGAAATGTGCGCTCCGCCCCACAGGCCCTCGTCGCACGCCCACACGTCACGGCTCCCTCAGCGCGCCGTTCGTCGCGGCCCCTCCTCATGCGTGCAGCAGGCGAGGCGCACAGGGCCGTCGTCGTGAGCGTGTCGGTGGGTGTGCGAGCGGAGCAGTTGGGCGGGAAACACACGGCACCCCTCGCAGGAAGAGTGCAGAAGAAACAATTTAAATGGGAAGAGTAGAAAAGAAAAAAAACGTCCACAGTGATTGCCCCAAAAGCAAAAAGAGGAGTGATGGGGGAAATTAAAAAAAAAAAACAAATTAAAAAAAATGAAAAAAATTAAAGTATTAAAAAAAAGAAAGTAAACAACGCAAACACACACAAAAAAAATTATTTTTAAAAATCATTGGCTCCCGGGGAAGTACTTCTGTGCAGGGAAGGCCGCAATTGTCCCACGCGGCAGCCAGTCACTCCTCACAGAGCCGCAAACCCCCACAGTCCCAGCAGAAGAAGCAGCGGCAGCAGTCCGCTTCTGTAAACATTGCCGCCATCACCCGTTGCTCCTCCAACGGCATTGAGGCCCGGGGCCGTCGGCACTTGCTGTGTGGTGACAGGCTTCCCCTCCGTTGTCATTTGCCGTGCTTCACTTTCTTTTCGAGGCCGCTGCAGGGCCGCTTGTTCCTCTGGAGCATCAGAAGGTTTCGTTGCAAGGAGAGCCACAATTTGTTCCCCTTCCACGGATGGAGAATTGGCTTCCGCTGATTGTTGATCTTCCGATGGTGAATCGGCATATTCTTCCACATCGGCATTCTCACCTGAAAATGTTAACGGGCGGTTGTACAGCAGGACGTTCGACACGGTCGCAGACACGCCTTCTTGGGTTCTTGTGTTGTCTCCATCCCCTCCAATATAGAAGTGGGAGATCTCTTTCGAATCCGTGTTTTTCAATTCACGTTTCACACTCCCACACACACGCTGACCATCGACGTACACGGAGCCCTGGGTGCCGTTCTGTAGCACAATGGCCACCTGGTACTGTGTCTGCGGCTCCCAAGTGCTTTTAAGCCTCTTGGTCTTTCCGTCACCGCACAGCACCCGCCACTTCTTTTCGCTGTCGTACGACAACTCCATAAGTTTTGTTCCTCCGTCAGTACCTGCACGCACACCCATCAAAGGGACGCTGCCACTTTTAGGCTCACCGTGGATGGACACCGTCGCCACAAGAGTGAATTTGTAGTTCGCAAAGTGGTACAGCTGATTCACCCCTGCTCGCCAACGGGCCACTCCGCCCACGATCCCCGGAACTTCACACCCTTCTCCGTGCTATTCACTTCTCCTTTCTTTCCTTTCTTTACTGTGGCGTTCACCCCGAGGTACTCGTCCCTCCATGTGGTATCAGAGAAGTTGCCGGACAAAAAGCCAACCAACCCATCCGTGATCTTACCAGCACTGCAGGCAGTGCCAGTTGAGGTAACCTGTGCAAGTAAAGTGGCGCACAGCTTGGAGACACGGTCGTCCACTTCCTTCCATGTCGCCAGCACCTCCCTCACACGCTGCAGCTGCTCAGTCAGACGCACAGAGACCATACCGAGTGATGATTCCCCACCGCCCTTCTTCTTCTCGTAAAGTGCAATCAACTCCTCCTTCTGCTCCTTATTAGTTTCACTTTTGTACAACAGGGAGCTGGCGGCAACGTCATCTTCCTCGGATACCGGCCCGATATCAACAATGTGTGTATTTTCCGTCAGCCAAAGATGGAGTACGTCCTTTCCATTGCCTTCCTCCTTTGAATACACCGGCAGAGTAACGAGCATCACGTTTCTCTTAGCACCGCCAACACCGTCAAGAGTCGCTGTGATGAAACCGCTTCCAACGCGCCTCACATTTCCCTTTTGTTTGCTGCCCCACACGCGCGAGAGTGTCCCGAGTGCCTCCGTCCACGAATTCCCCTTGTCACCGGACTCGTACACCCTGCGGCGGCCATCATCGCACGCAGTCATCATCATGAGTTTTCCCTTCCACTCCACGACGGAGGGATCACTGCAGCCATCGGCAGACATCCCCTTCGACAGCGTCCAAAGTTTAGTATCCGAGGAGTATATGATCAGTGAGACGGTCTTTCCATCCTTTTCGTTGCCACCATCCTGGTTTGTCTTCTTCCTCGTCCCTTCCAATGGGAACACAAGTGTACCGTCATTCATCTTAACGCCCGATCCACCGCCGCCAATCAGCCGCAACAAAGATTCGTGTTGTTTGTTTTTATAATTCCACGGAATAAAGTAACTGTCATTCCAGTAAATTCTTTTTTCATTGCCACTGTCTTCGTTACTTACGTTACCTTTCACCAGCATAAGTCCCCAGTCAGCTGCACCACTAACCTGATCGCCAGCTTTAAGTGTCCAACTGTAATTTCCAGCAAGCATGTAAATAACACTTTCCTTCGCAACTGTTGTTGGTCGGCTCACATGTAAATTCTTCACTCCCTGAGAAACAGCCTGATCCGCTATACGGCAGAGGCGTTCGACTTGTTCAGAGGGGCACTCCTCCAGTACTTGTGTCTTCAGTTTGGTTTTATCCAACTCCTCTTTTTGCTTTTCATTCACTTTTAGGAGCTCCGAGGCAATCCCAGTAAAACCGCTCTTGCCGGCTTCCGTGAACTCCGCCCCGGCAACGGCAAACACTTGACCATCATCCATCTCAACAAGACTGGGAACACGTAGCAAACTCACTGCTTCTCCATCACCTGTTGTATCTCTCCAAGCAAAAGATGGGCTCGGTGAAGATCCCTCAACTGACGCTGGCTCGACACCTTGCGCAGCTCCACCACTGCCGCAGCACATCAACACGACGAGGAGGAGCAGCACCGCCGAAGTAAACACACGCCGGGACATGTTGGGCCTCTGCCACTCACTCTCGCTTCCTTCCCTCCTCCTCCCGCTGGATCCGGTCACGCGGCGACGGTTGTGTGTGCGGGGTGCCTTGACAGCAGCAACACGTGAGAGCATATAAATATGTGTGTGTGGGCGGTGTGTGTGCTGTTGGTCCTTTCAGTGCCTTCGAATTTCACAGTAGCGATTAGCGCTTGTTTGCTTGCTTTCCTAGCTTATCTAAAAAGTTAAAAAATAAAGAAATAGAGAGAAAACATACAAAAAAAGGGAACAGTGGGCACCGCCACCCATCCACAGTGAGTGGCACCATCATCCCCGCCGCAGTCACTCCCAACAACAACAACTCACGCACACAAAAACACGGAACGAGGGGAAAAAACAGCGCACCGGGAACACACAGTGACCGCCACCACCACCAGCAGCAGGAGTCACAGCGGGTGCGTTATTCGTCACGCGTCAGCACACACTGAGCGACGCCCAAACCCAGCAAAGCAACCGGCAGAATGCAAAAGGGAACAAGACCGTCCTTCGCAAAGCCCACGCGCTGTCGCCAGTCGTTTTACTGCTCACCCTCCAACGCACATCACCCCACACAGCCGGAGGATCCCTGACCAAAGTATACACAGAACAGGACATACATTGGCACGTGCAGCAGCCGGACGAGAAGCAATCAATAATTGTCCCAGGCACCCCAACCCACACCACCCAATAGACCGCACGCCAGCAAGTTGTCAAAAAATAAATCGCAGGATCCCATCCTCCCTCCTCGCAAGGGACGTCGCAGCTAGAATCCTCTACGTGCGTCCTCAGCAATCACGCCACTTTACAGAGTATGCATAATGGTGTGTTTGTTTGTGCGTGCGTCAATGGATATACTTGCAGAGCAGCTGTGCGGCACAAGAGTTCAAAGAAGAAAATAGAAGAAAGAAAAGGATAGCACACACGCAAATTACTCATATCATCACACACGCAGCCAGTGGAATGGGTGCACTCAACCACAACACAAGTAAAACAACAAAAAAAGCCGAAGCGTGGGACGACCAGCGCACACACACTCTCATTACTCCCGTAAAGCAAAACACACACACAGGGAGAGAGAGAGAGGTCGCCCACTCAATGCAATGAAAACAAAACAGAAACAGTTACGGTGCTCCGCCCATGCAGCCAGGCAGGACGGCAGCGGTGCGTGTCGTGCAAAAGAGAGCACCAACGGGCTGCATGGGTGTGCATGCATATATACAATGGGCACATTATTGTGTGCGCCTCGTGGGGTGAGGTGAGGGCGAGAGTCCATGCAAGGGGACACACACAGAGAGAGAAGGACGAGTGTGTGTGCGGGCGGTGCACGGCTCTCTCTCACACTCACTCTCACGCGGCCACCACCGCTGCAGCCGCACAAGCAACAACAAGAAGAGGCAAAAGAGGGGAGGTGGTGTGGGAGACCCCGCTGCTGCCGTCACTGTTTTGTGTGTTCGTCGTATCTGTTGTGTTGGAGGTTACTGTCGTTGCTTTTGTATCTTCCCCAGTCCCTTCTGAGCCTTCGTCTCGGTGGCGTTGTGGCGTGGCTGCGGTCTCAGGCGGTGGATCATTTTTTTTATCTTCACTCGTGGTTTCATCGCCATCATGTTCGCGGGAATCAACACCGTCTTCTGGAGGCGATGGAATATTTCCTCCCGCAATTCCCCCAGGTATTGTGTTCTCTGCTTTACCTGGTCTGAGTGCGTTCTCTACTGCTGTTCGACTTTTGTCGGTTTCCTTCTTTCCTTCAACTTCTGTTTGCAACGGTTTGGCGTTTGATTCCTGACTGCCGGAAGGAGAAATGTTCCCTGCAGATACAATTGACTGGCCTGTTTGCTGCTCGGTGCTAATTAACTTCTTTTCCCTAGAATTTGGGTCTGATGTAACTTTTACTTCTTGATCACTCTGCCCTTGAGTTCTTTCTTCTTCATCTGTCCCTGGACCATCATCATCATCATCATCATCATCATTTTCTTCTTCATCTTCTTCATCTTCATCCTCTGAAGATGAGAGATTTTTTTTCCCTTTAACACCTTCTGCTTCATCTTTTAAGCCTTGCGTGACTTGTAGAGACGTTTCAGGTCCTTTTGATCCCAGCGAAAGATCAGCACCACCTCCAAGACCAACACTCTCCTCATTTGCAAAACAACCGCCGGCACCGCACCACAGCACGCAGAGGGCACACACCAGCAGCACACGGCCAGTCATCATCGCCATCACTCCCGTCACTTGCGTGTAGCCTTCAGCACAAACTAACAACGCGTCAACGCAGAGTGAAAGCAAAAGGAGAGACAATTCACACAGCCACCGCACAGCAGTAACAAATGATAGCAGCTTGCGCAAAACAGAGCACATTCAATGAGGCAGTTGGAATCAGGAAAAAGAAAAACAAAAACACACCACCCTGCAGCAATTAATACACAAGAAAAAAGAAAAACAAAACAATTAGAAAAAACACAAATAAAAAAGCAACAAAAATTTAATAAAATGAGCTGTACAGTATGGCTCCAGTGCGCACGCATCCACACGCAAACATGTGTCCACGAAAAAAATTGTATGCGTTTATTACATATGAGTGTGTCTGCGATGCGTTCAACGTGAAGAATACAGGGAGCAACGCGGAGCACACAGCACGGCAGCGGAAGCAAATGAAGTAAAACACAATCATTATTTTCTCTTATTTATTTACATCAGACAACAACACACGCGCACAAATCCCCGTGGTTGAGTGCTGGCACGCACAGCCCGCATACACATCTTCAGCCCAGAGTGGTGTACGCCAGCGCGGATACGGCGAGCACCAGCGGGGCACACACCCACGCAGAGCTGCTGAGGCTGCCGTCAACTTCGCGAAGAAGTGACGGTGCGCGGGTGGTCGTCGTGGTTGTAGTTGGCGCCTCTGTAGTCGTAGTGGCGGTGGTAGTTGGTGCTTTTGTCGTAGTTGTGGTTGTGGTGATCTTATTTTTCGCGGTGTTTTCGATACCTGATACTTTCATTTGAGGGATACGACCTGTTAGCTCCTGAACATCGGAATTATCTGCTACCTCTGGCTTAAGGGTCCTCTCTTCTGTTTTTTGTGCCGTTTCAGTGTCCCCAGTTGCTGCCTGTTCCGAATTAGTTGTAAGTCGTTCCCCTGCTGTAGCTGGCGCGCACCTCTTCTGTGTGTGGCGTAATGACTTGATTTAGCGGCTGTTCCGTATCAGTCGTCGTACCTGGTGTCTGATCCACAATGCTCTGACTCCCTTCTCCTGGCTTACCGGACGTCCCTAATTTCTGTTCCGTCTCGACCACCTTCACTTCCTCTGGGACACGGGGCGATGGAGTGGGAATTTTAACTTCCTTGCTTCCACCTTGATCTCCACCAGTCGCTGCCGTGCACACGGACGGGCAGTAGCACAGGGCGAGCACCAACAGGGCGCACAGCAGACGGCACGTCATCATCATCGTGAGTGTGGTCGTTCAGTGGTGTGGAGCAGATCTGCACAGTGAGGGGCATGGAGAGCAACAGGGGAGACGAGAGGTGCGGCAGACACACACAGAGGGCACACCACATGAGGAGAGGGCAGCAGCCAGGCATGCACCGTACGCCGCACACCACGCACGACACACACCCCAATCCACGGCAGCAGGCACACACACACACACAGCCCTGCCGCAGCACCAACACACAGATGGAAGAGGGAGAAGCAAACAGGAGCGGCACACAAGGCTCCACCGCATGCACATACGGCGAGAGCGGTCCGTCGGGTCGGCACCCCTCACGGAGGGCACGCACACACACAAGAGGAGGTGCAGCGCACACAGCATCAAAAGCAAAGTAACAATGAAAAGGAAACCCCGCAAATCACGTGGATTGTTGGTCCACGGGAAGTGCAGCCAATATTTATTGCAAAAAGATGCATTTTTTTCTTTTTCTTTGATTTATTTTGTGACAGCAGTGAGTAGCACAGGAACCGTCAGCAATAAATTGGTAAGTATTCCGTCGCAAACAGGCCGTCATGCACGCTGGGGCAGTCCCAAACAGTCGCAGTCCATATTCTCAATGACAGGACATTACCAAAGCGGGTGAAGCGGAGTCTCCCGTGGTCCGTCGTGGAATTAGCAGCCCGTGGCGTCTGTGATGAGACGGTGGCGGAAGAGCCGGGTCCATCTCGAGTGTCCGCGTTTGTTCTTCCTGCGTGCCTTGCCTGCTGGCATGCTTGGTTCCTTCGGTGGCGACCCGCGCACGAGGCGCCTGTTAAGAAGACGGTGGAGCCATTGTGGCATCCGCATGTGAGGCCTGTCAAACTATCCAAACGCCAGGCCGAGCGCGTCGGGCATGTGCCCTCATATTGTGGATGAACGAGCGCACTCTGCCGCAGATTGGGTAGGACGACGTCAATCCGCCGCTCGCTGGTCAACAAGGAGTAGCGGAGTTTTCGTCTGGAAGATATTCCGGAGGCGGAGGCGGGCCGGTCACCGCAGTGAGGGAGGGACGGCACTACCAACACAGAGGGTTATTTGTGATACGAAGGGCACGCTCAGGCATGTCGAGGAGTGGGCAGGAGTCGCACCGTGCCTGTGCGCAGAGCCGCCGCTCGGCGCACGATGTCCGGGTTGAAACCAGGAACAGAGTCCTCGCCACACCGACAAGCGCCTGTCACGCGGTGTGTGCGCCTTCCTTTTCCTCCTGCACTTCCCTCCAATCCCGTCGCTTCACTGCGGTAAGGAAGCCCACGTTCCAGGCATTGACGCAGTCCTGCGGGAGGGATCGTGCCATGACGGCATCAGCGTCCGCTGTCACGTTGCGTGGGATTCCGCGGTGTCATGGGGAAAATGTGGAGCCAACAGTGCGACCTCGATCCGCCAGTGAAAGCGGCATCATGCCAATCTCCTCGGTGACGTCGTCTTGCACCGCCAGCGAGCCAAGACGGAGTGACTCCATCGCCGAGAGGGAGTCTGTGGCGGCAGGAACTCGTGTGGGCGATTGGGATGCTGCTGCCATGCGGGGAACTGAAAACTGTCTGTGGCCAAGCTCAGTGGCAGGACACTCCGCTCGGCAGGAGCACGCAAGGCTGCCAGCAGCTGCGCGGTGAGGCCCCACAGGGAACTCGGCTGTCCGGGGAGTCAAGTGGCAGCGCAACAAGCCCAGACGCATGCTCAGCGAGATACAACGAGCCGTCCACCGCCAACACAGTTGCCAGCGAATAACAACACGTTGACCATGAATAGGACACGTATGCCCGCACTGCCGTGGGCACGGACAGCGGCTCCGATTCACTCAGCAACAGTGATCTAATGCCCTCGGATGGTACAACAGCCACGCCTGAGCCCGGCACAGCCCTAGCAAATGTTGAACGAGTGATAACGCGTCGTGTGGCGGTGATGCCGCACAGGATTATTTGCGCACAACGTCTGGGAAACCAGAGATCCCATCGGAGCACGACGCGGCGTCGCTTCTGAGCAACGTTTTTTGTGAGCTCGGGCATTTCAAGGATTTGTTGGCCATGGCTGAAATTGGCGACAGCACCGTGCATGGGTGTGTGTCTCGGGTGTTGTTGCTTCTGCTTCTGGGGCTGTGAGGCACTGTGGCGCTCCGCTGAGGTGTGAGGGAGGGTGGAACTGCGGCTTTTCGTGGAACAATAACTGTGCAGCTTGCCAGCATTACCACTGAGTTTTGTCAATAATCTAGGTTTTTTATTTTCTTTTATTTATTTATTTTTGCTGCTTTTGCCCTATTGGAATAATCAGCATCCCTGTGTTTTCCCCAATGGTTGCTTGTCGTACTTTGTCATGAGTGACGCGCTTCCCTCTGTTTCCTTCTGTTGCCCACACGCGGTGTCGGCCTCATTGCTATGCGTTCCACGGACTGCACGAAAGGAGGATTGGAGGAACAGGCCGGATGCCGCAATGAAGTGTGAGGGATGTTGTGTGGCCTGGTGGAACAGCACGAACTTTTTTTGTTTGTGCGGGCAATATGAATACACGTACCCATTTCCTGTATGCCTTGGGACAAATGAAACGAAAACTTCTGCTGGGAGCTTTTTTTTTTTTGCTTTGTTTCCCGGGAGTCCTGCTGGACCCTCATCCCTTTTTTTTCCTTTGGTTGCTGTTGTGTTTTTGAACCTTTGCTATGCGGGGCGGTGTGCGAATTCCGCCATTGTGGCGATTCTCTCTGTCTCGTGGTGTATGCGCTGCTGCCGTTTGTTATTGAGGCTGTGCGTTATTGGCTGTGGTCGTGTCGCTCTCTTTTTGCCTTCCGCTCTGCGTTGATGGGGCGTTAGTTTGTGCTGAAGGCTACACGCAAGTGACAGGAGTGATGGCGATGATGATGACTGGCCGTGTGCTGCTGGTGTGTGCCCTCTGCGTGCTGTGGTGCGGTGCGGGCGGAGGCGATGCAGAAATGAACGATGAATCATTGGTTGATTCACAGCATGTATCTGGTGTCGGTGAAAAAGCTCCAAAGGGATTACCGGAGTCTGGCGAACGAGTGCCTGACAGCGCGGGGCATTCTTTGGGCATAAATAATGGGATTAATTCCAATCTGCAAGAGGGGACAGGCACAGGAACAACAACAGACAGAGTTGTGAAGAATGAAGAGGAAGAAGTAGAAACTGATTTTGAAGAAGAAGAAGAGAGAAGTAAAGAAGGAGAAGATACGGAAAAAACCGGGAAATCTGAAAGTTCATCGAAAGAGATGGCAGCAACAATACCAACAGCATCTGTTCTCAGTGAAAGTGGTGGTGGCATTCCTTCTGGTGTTGATGGTGTTGGCTCGAGTGAAAGTTCTGACGGAAGTGAAGATTTGAATTTGGAGGTTTCTGGTCCTGTCGTGAAGTCTCCGCCTTCCATTCCCAATGGTACTGCTGGTGGTTTGCAGAATGCCGACGGTGCTTTATCGTCTCAGAAGAATAATTTCTTAGAAACAGGTGTGCATTCAGGAACGACGCCTGTAGCACCCTCACTGCCCAAATCACAGGCACCCGCGATGCCAAAACCAAAAGCAGAAGAGCAGTCCCCCACTGAACAGGACACAGAAGAGGCCCATTCACAGCCCGGAGAAGTAAATGCTACGGCACTCAACAGCAGCCTCGGAAATTTGTCGCAGGGGAATAACAGCGATGCCGGCACCATGCGTGGGAGCGGACTGCTGCCGCTGCTTATCCTTCTGCTGTTGGGACTGTGGGGATTTGCGGCTCTGTGAGGAGTGACTGGCTGCCGCATGGAATACCTGCGACCTTCTCAGCAGAGAAATACTTCTCCGGGAACGAATATTTTTGATACTTTTACTTTTTTGTGTGTGTTTTAAAATTATTTTAATGCTTGCTACTTTCTTGCTTTAAAATTCTTTTTTCATTTTTATGTGTTTGTGATTTTCATTTTTTCCAACGTCCCCAAACCCCTTTTCTTTTTGCTTTCGGGGGCAATCACTATGGAAGTTCTTTTTTTTTCTTTTCTACTCTTCCCTCTTTAATTGTTTCTTGCTGCACTCTTCCTGCGAGGGGTGCCGTGTGTTTCCCGCCCAACTGCTCCACTCGCACACCCACCGACACGCTCATGACGACGGCCCTGTGCGCCTCGCCTGCTGCACGCATGAGGAGGGCCGCGACGAACGGCGCGCTGAGGGAGCCGTGACGTGTGGGCGTGCGACGAGGGCCTGTGGGCGGAGCACACATTTCTTCCCTCCTGTTTTTTTTTCTTTGCGGTCAGGGCGGGCAGACACCCGCAGCGCCACACACACAGCCACGCCCTGCCGCCGTGTTTTTATTTAAGGTTTGTTTTGCTTTGCGTGTTTATTTCATGCGGTGGCGCACCCTTCGGTGTCGGCCTCGTGAGCATTTCTCTCCCCTCCGATGATTTCTTTTTCTTTTGCTGCGCTCACTCCCCCGATGGAGTGACGCGACTGCCGTCATGTCTGCGTGCTTCTCTCAGTCCCATGCACACGAGTGACTGTGCTCTGCGGGCCGCACTCACGCGCCGATGAGAGGGCTGAGGGGAGCAGCAACACGCAGATGACCCCATGAAATATAAACGATGTGCGGACACACGGAGGATCGGACGGTCGAAGCACACGTAACCATCTTTTAATTTTCTTTTGTGGGCAAAATACATGCAGACAGTTTGGTGTGGCCACACGGCAGCCAGGCGAATTTTTTCTTATTTTAAAATTTGTGTGGAGCAGTAATGGACGATTTCTTTTCATTTATAATTATTTTGTGTGATGGGGTTTACATAAGACGAAGGGGGACGTTTTTTTGTTTTCAATAAATATTGTGTGAATTGCCGCTGCTTCGGCTGCAGTGCAGTCATGAGTTTGAGCGGTCTTCTTGTTGTTGTTTCCGTTATGCGTCTCCGCTGTACATTTTTGTGCGTCGCTCCACATACTCTGCTCCCTCTTTTCTACTTCTTTGCTTTGTGTTGCTGCAGGCACACACAACCACACACACACAAGATGCACATTGCAGTGGATATGAATGCTCCTTTTTTGGTGCATGCTGGCAGCTGCGTGTGGCGGCTGTTGTCTTCTTCCGTGGCCATGAGGAGGAGGGGGAGAGGGAGAGAGGGAGCGCACCCCGGGACTATTTTCCTGTGGGTGTGATGCACCGCGTGTGACTGCGCTGAGTTGGGCTCCGTGTCCCATTGATGGCGGGATGGCAGGAAATTTTGTGCTGCGTCATGGATGGATGAGGGTTCGCTTGCTCCGTGTGCGTTGTGTGGTGGCCGCGGGTTTTGCCATTTCCCTGGGGCTGCGGGAATGAGCTGGGGGAGATGGTGGAGGATGTCTTCTCCTCCTGCATGGTGGGTGGCTGCTGGCGTTGTGTGCCCTCCTTGCGTGGATGCCGTCTCGTGGTGTGTGGACTGTGCGGCTGGGCCTGCTGCCCTCTCCTCATGTTGTCTGCGCTCTCTCGCTGTATCCGCTGTGCTCCGTCCCTCTCGTTCCATTCTTTTCCTTCCGTCTCACCGATCAGCTGACTGACACCAGCGACTCCACTACGGGCGATGATGACTGCGACGGTGACGGTGCGGCGCCGTGCTGGTCCTTGCGCTCTTGTGCTGCTGCTGCTGCAATTCCGTGTGCGTGACGGCGTCGGGAGACGATAATAATGATAACAGCCGTCCTCCCAACCCTGAGCTAGGGAAACCGGATCCTACAAAAATATGCCTGGCGCATTACAGCCATATGGTGGGGAGACCGGTGGGCCACAGACAGAGAGTGGGAGAGACAGCGAGGAGGGTTTGAGTATTCAGGACCTTCTTTGCCAAAGGAAGCAGGCACAGCCATCACTGGACTGACACCAGTTCCGCCAGAGTCACTGAGTTCGGCTAGCGATAATCCAGAGCCAGCAGGTTTGGCAACTCAGTCTCCCCACACACACACAAGGTGCGACCGGTATGCCAGATGCACAAAATAAAGGCGCAGTAAAATACACAAGGCGGTGAGAATCATAAGGCACAGATATCAAATGAGAAGTTGAAAATGCCAAACAAAACAAACACGACGACGACCAGTGCGGCAGAGGCACCGAGTGATACGGCCATGAATACAGAGGCGCCAACCACGACGACCACCCGCGCACCGTCACTTTTTCGTATAGTTGACGGCAGCCTCAGCAGCTCTGCGTGGGTGTGTGCCCCGCTGCTGCTCGCCGTATCCGCGATGGTGTATACCACTGTGAACTAATGAGGTGCGTATGCGAACCGTGCGTTCCAGCACTCAACCGCGGGAATTTGTGCGCTTCTACTGTGGTCCGAAGTATAAAGTAAGAGTAATTATGATGATTCTGTTTTGCCTTACTTGTTTCTGCCTGCTGTGTGCTTCTCTTTACTTCCCACATCCGTCTCATTGAACGCATCACAGACAAACTTGTATGCACGCCACGCATACAACTGTTTGCGTGGACCCACTGTTGGGGATGGATGCATGCACACTGGAGCCATTTAAGTGCAGGGTTCTGTTTTTGTGTTTTTACATTTTGTAGTTTCTTGCTGCGTGTTTACTTTTTTGATTTTCCTTGCTGTGCCTTTTTTAATTATATTTTTGCATGGCGTTGTGCGCTTTTTGCACTTTATTGGTTGAATATTTCTTACGAAATGCGTGCTGTTGCTGCTGGTATTTTTTACTGTTCTTTTTCTTGTGTGCGTCCTTCTATTTATTCTTGCTTTGCGCTGACGTGTTGTTATTTTGTGCTGAAGGCTACACGCAAGTGACAGGAGTGATGGCGATGGTGATGACTGGCCGTGTGCTGCTGGTGTGTGCCCTCTGCGTGCTGTGGTGCGGTGCTGGCGGTGGTGGACGCGCGATGGTGGATTACTGCTGTGAGGGTGGAGGGAACGGTTTGAGGCACGCGAGTAATGGTGGAGATGACGGCGTGTCTCTAAAGGCGGACTGCGGGTTGTTATTCACTTGAATGGCATTAATAAAGGCGGTTGAGGCTGCGGAAGCTGGAGAAGAAGGATTGAGTGTTCCAGAAACATCTCAGGATACGGAGGAATCATCACCTGATAATAAATTGAACGATAATACGAGGGGCACTGCAGAGCCTGGTTTAGGAGGTGGCGGTGTCGCAGGTCAAACAGCAGAAGCAGCAGTAACGCTGGAGCCCGGAGGATCGGGTACAGGAGGACAGGTGAGGCAGCCTAAAGTGGTGGATGCAAATGGAAAAGAAGGAGAGACTGCCAACGATACAAAGAGCGGAAGCGCATCTAATTCCGAAAAAATAAAAACTGTTGAATCTTCTTTTCCTTCTTCTGGCAGCCCTGGCCCTGAGGAAGGTGAAGAAACCCCTTCGAAACAAACCTCCAAGAGAAATGAATTCTCAGACGGCACGCCGACACAAGAAGAAGTTGCAAGAAATCATCGAATTACACCTCACAGTCGTGAAGCGGGGGCGGAAGAAGAACACGAAGTAAAAAAAGAAAACGCAAGTCATGAGGCACCAACAGAGACACGTGGAAGTCCAGCCAAGGACGCAGAAATACAAACGGCAACACCACCGCCACCACCAGCAACAATGAATGGACAGTCCAGCACTGTGAATTTACGGCCCATACAACTGCTACAATACGTCCAGGACGACAATGCAGAATTCAGGACACCATCACTCATGGCAAACGGTGGTGCCGCCATTAATCAAGCTGACAAGAGCACTGAAAAGCGCATCCCGAACAGTGATCCAGCAGCTGATGTTGCAGGGACAGCAGAGGGAAAACAAAATGAAAATAAAGATGCCAATCCGAAGGAAAGACCAGTCGAAGCCACAGCCATGAAAACTACAACGGCGACGACTGGCGACAGTGACGGCAGCACCGCGGCCTCCCACACCACCTCCCCTCTTTTCCTTCTTCTTCTTGTTGTTGCGTGTGCGGCTGCGGCTGCGGTGGTGGCCGCGTGAGAGTGAGGGAGAGAGAGCCGTGCACCGCCCGCACACACACGCGTCTTTCACTCTCTGTGTGTGTGTCCCCTTGCATGGACTCTCGCCCTCGCCTCACCCCACGAAGCACACACAATAATGTGCCCATTGTATATATGCATGCACACCCATGCAGGCCCGTTGGTGCTCTCTTTTGCACGACACGCACCGCTGCCGTCCTGCCTGGCTGCATGGGCGGAGCACCGTAACTGTTTCTGTTTTTGTTTTTATTGCATTGAGTGGGCGACCTCTCTCTCTCTCCCTCTGTGTGTGTGTTTTGCTTTACGGGAGCAATGAGAGTGTGTATGCGTTGGTCGTCCCACGCTTCGGCTTTTTGTTTTGTTTTCCTTTTTGATTTTGTGGTTGAGTGCACCCATTCCGCGGCTGCGTGTGTGTGTGTGTGTGTGATGATATGAGTAATTTGCGTGTGTGCTTATCTGCCTCTCTCTGCCGTTGCTTTCTTCAGACTCTCTTGTGCCGCACAGCTGCTCTGCAAGTACAGGCGCTGACAATTACATTCACATACACGCCGTGTTGCACATGCCGTGGAGCGGCGTGAATGCTGAGGACTCACGCACAAGATTGTAGCTGTGGATGGTGATGGAGGGATGACGGAACACCGAAATTTGTTTTGTTTCCGTGCTAAGGGCATGATTTTCTTATCGTGAACCAGTTGACTAGCGTGGTGTGTCATTGAGGGTTCCTGGGAGGAGTGCCGATTTTTTGCCCAGCAGCTGCACGGTTTGACGTGTTTCTCTGGCTGTTCATGCACCGACGAAGGATTGTGCGGCTGTGCGGGGCGATGTGCGGTGGATGTTGCGAGGAGAGACAACAGTGAAACGGCTGGCGGCAGCGCGTGTGGGCGTTGCTCGGTGTGCGCTGACGCGTGGCGGAAGCACCCGCCGTGACTCCTGTGGCTTTTACTGCTGGTGGCAGTCGCTGTGTGTTCCCGGTGCACAGCTCTTCCTTCTCATTCTGTGTGTCTGTGTGCGTGAGTTGTTGTTGTTGGGAGTGACTGCGGTGGGGATGATGGTGCCACTCACTGTGGATGGGCGGCGGTGTTTATTTCTCTCCTTTTTTCTTTTCTCTCTCTTTCTCACACACAAAGAAGGAAAGGAAGTAAGGCTAATCGCTAATCGCTACTGTGATATTCGAAGGCTCTGAAGGGACCAACAGCACACGCCCCGCCCACACACACATATTTATATGCACTCGCGTGTTGCTGCAGGTGTCATGGCACCCCGCACACACAACCATCGCCGCGTGACCGGATCCAGCGGAAGGAGGAGGGAAGGAAGAGAGAGTGAGCCGCAGAGGCCCAACATGTCTCGGCATCTCTTCTACTCTGCGGTGCTGCTCCTCGTTGTTTTGATGATTTGCTGCGGCACAGGAGTTGCTCACGCGGAGGTGCAGGCATCGCAAAAAAAGTTTGAATGGAAGGACATCAAGGATGAGGGTGTAACTGTGGAGTCGTTGGGTGCTCCCGGCCTTCTAAAAGTGGGGAGTGACGTGTTTGCCGTTGCCGAGGCGAAGGAAACGGAGAAGAACGTTCAAGGCAGCTTTACTGGCATTGCATCCCAACTTCTCACGGAAACAGTGAAAAAAAAGGGTAACACACCGGTGGAAATAATGAATGATGCCAACACGAGGACACAAGTACTGCAGAAAAGCAATTCCCCAAACAGGAAAGTAGACGTGAGCCGACCAACAACAGTTATGAAGGGAAATGATATTTACATGCTTGTTGGGAAATACAGCCAGACAGCTGCTACCGGTGAGAATAGAGGTGCCGATGACTGGGGGCTTTTGCTGGTGAAAGGGGAAGTCAGTGATGAAGAAAACAAAAAAATTGACTGGAAAAATACTGAAAGTCTCCCGCGAGGACCTTTTGGCACAGAACTCGAATCCTTGACGGGACTGTTTGGCGGCGGTGGATCGGGTATTAAGATGCATGATGATACGCTTGTGTTCCCCGTGGAAGGCACGAAGAAGGGTGACGCACCAAAGGATGTGAAAACCGTTTCGCTGATTATACACAACTCGAAGGATACTGCTGCGAGTTGGAAGCTGTCGAAGGAGGTTCCTGACAATGGCTGCAGTGATCCCTCCTTCGTGGAGTGGGGGGAGAAGGACAAAAAACTCATGATGATGACTGCGTGTGATGATGGCCGCCGCAGGGTGTACGAGTTCGGTGACAAGGGGGAATCGTGGACGGAGGCCCTCGGGACGCTCTCGCGCGTGTGGGGCAACAAAAAGGGCGTAAGTGGCGTTAGAAGCGGGTTCACCACAGCGACGATTGGCGGTGTTGAAGATAAGAGAAATGTGATGCTCGTTACTCTGCCGGTGTATTCAAAGGAGGAAGACAATTCAAAGGGAAAACTCCATCTGTGGCTGACGGACAATACGCACATTGTTGATATTGGGCCGGTATCCGATGATGACGTTGCCGCCAGCTCCCTGCTGTACAAAAGTGCTGGAAGTGAAACTAATAATAATGATGAGTTGATTGCACTTTACGAGAAGAAGAGGGGTGATGATGGGAAACCATCACCCGGTATGGTCTCAGTGCTTCTGACTGAGCAGCTGCAGCGTGTGAAGGAGGTGCTGACGACGTGGAAGAAAGTGGACCAAACTGTCTCCAGGCTGTGCCATTCTGAAAGTGCTGAGAAGGATGCCTCACCTGGCATTGCCTGCAGCACTACTTTTAAGATCACGGATGGGCTGGTTGGCTTTTTGTCCGACAAATTCTCTGGTAACACATGGAGGGACGAGTACCTCGGGGTGAACGCCACAGTGAAGAACAATGATGGGGGTAAGAAGGCAAAATTGCATGAAGGCAGTGTGAAGTTCCATGGAGCGTGGGCGGAGTGGCCTGTTGGCGAGCAGGGGGAGAACCAGCTGTACCATTTTGCGAACTACAACTTCACTCTTGTGGCGACGGTGTCCATCGACGGTGTGCCGAGGAAGGAAGGTAATATTCCTTTGATGGGTGTGCGTCTGAACGATGAAAAAAAAACCAAACTTATGGAGTTGTCATACGACAGCGGAAAGAAGTGGCAGGTGCTGTGCGGTGACAAAACTTTTAAGTAGCACAGCAACACTTGGGAGACAGAGAAAACACATCACGTGGTAATTTTGCTACGGAACGGCACCCAGGGTTCCGCGTACGTCGATGGTAAGCAAGTGGGTGGGGATGTGCCGTGCGCGTTTGGAAATACGAAGGATTCAAAAGAGGTATTCCACTTCTACATTGGAGGGGGCGGAGGCAGTGCAGTGAGCACAGGGATCGAAGAAGAGATGTCTGTGACCGTGACGAACGTCCTGCTGTACAACCGCCCCTTGAGCTCTGAAGAGATTGGCGCCCTAAACCCGAATAAAGACTCCATTCCACCTGTGGTGTCTGACAATGCCCAGGGTACCCAGTCGCAGTCCTCTTCTGACGGGCAATCGCCGTTGAGGCCTGAATTGTTGAATGGAAATGAGGGTGTGGACGGTGGCAGCACGTCCACATCAGCACCGTCCACTGTAACGACTTCCTTGGGAAAAGAGCAACCCGTAATTCAGCTGCCTTTAGGAATATCCTCCGGTGGAAAAAAAAATGTGGATGTCGCTTCTCCATCCGATGGTGATCCAAGGGTGGGAGCAGAAGCTGGAGGTGCTGTGCAGGGAGACACACCACCCCAAACTCCTGTGGATACCCCCGACACAGCAGATGCAAACGCTCCTACCGCTACGAACGTGGCTCAAGTTGGCCCCGCAGATACAACTGAGGTGGGCGCGAGCTCCGGTGCGAATGGGGAGACGGCGGGAGGAAGGGATGGGCAGGAGGATATCCATGCACGGGACAGGGGAGTAAATGCCACGGCATTCAGCAGCAGTCTCGGAAATTTGTCGCAGGGGAATAACAGCGATGCCGGCACTGTGCGTGGGAGCGGACTGCTGCCGCTGCTTCTTCTTCTGTTGGGACTGTGGGGGTTTGCGGCTCTGTGAGGAGTGACTGACTGCCGCGTGGGACAATTGCGACCTCCCCTGCACCGACACACACACTCCTGCCAATGGATTACTCTCCGTATGGGAAAGATTTTTTTTGTGCGTTGTTTACTTTTTCTTTTAATACATTAATTATTTTCATTTTTTGCTTTCTTTTTTTGCTTTTGGGGCAATCACTATGGACGTTTTTTCTTTTCTACTCTTCCCTCTTTAATTGTTTGTTGCTGCACTCTTCCTGCGAGGGGTGCCGTGTGTTTCCCGCCCAACTGCTCCACTCGCACACCCACCGACACGCTCATGACGACGGCCCTGTGCGCCTCGCCTGCTGCACGCATGAGGAGGGGCCGCGACGAACGGCGCGCTGAGGGAGCCGTGACGTGTGGGCGTGCGACGAGGGCCTGTGGGGCGGAGCACACATTTCTTCCCTCTTGTTTTGTTTCCTTGCGGCCAGGGCTGGCAGACACCCGCAGCGCCACACACACAGCCACACCCTGCCGCCGTGTTTTCTTTAAGGATTTGTTTTGCTTTGCGTGTTTATTTCATGCGGTGGCGCACCCTTCGGTGTCGGCCTCGTGAGCATTTCTCTCCCCTCCGATGATTTCTTTTCTTTTGCTGCACTCACTCTCCCGATGGAGTGACGCGACTGCCGTCATGTCTGCGTGCTTCTCTCAGTCCCCACACACACACGAGTGACTGTGCTCTGCGGGCCGCACTCACGCGCCGATGAGAGGGCTGAGGGGAGCAGCAACACGCAGATGACCCCATGAAATATAAACGATGTGCGGACACACGGAGGGTCAGACGGTCGAAGCACACGCAACCATTCTTTTAATTTTCTTTTGTGGGCAAAATACATGCAGACAGTTTGGTGTGGCCACACGGCAGCCAGGCGAATTTTTTCTTATTTTAAAATTTGTGTGGAGCAGTAATGGACGATTTCTTTTCATTTATAATTATTTTGTGTGGTGGGGTTTACATAAGACGAGGGGGGACGTTTTTTTGTTTTCAATAAATGTTGTGTGAATTGCCGCTTCTTGGGCTGCAGTGCAGTCATGAGTTTGAGCGGTCTTCTTGTTGTTGTTTCCGTTATGCGTCTCCGCTGTACATTTTTGTGCGTCGCTCCACATACTCTGCTCCCTCTTTTCCACGTCTTTGCTTTTTGTTGCTGCAGGCACACACAACCACACACACACAAGATGCACATTGCAGTGGATATGAATGCACCTTTTGTAGTGCATGGAGGCAGTTGTGTGCGCCGTGTTGGTCCCTGCGCTCTTGTGCTGCTGAAATTCCGTCTGCGTGCTGCTGGGAGTCCTGGAGATGTATCTGGTGATGCGGATGCGGTGGTTGTGCCGGTGGATGTGTCGTGTGCTCCGAGTGACGGCAGCCTGAGCTGTCGCGTGCGTGTGTGGGCGTGGAAGAAGTGTTCTGCTGCCGGTGCTGAGGCTCAGCATGAGAATTATAATTTCAGTGGCTTTGATGTGCGCATGCATGGCAGGAATGGTGAGCTGGGTGCTGTGTGCCATGTGGCCAATGCGGTGCACACATGTAGCAACTGTGCTGCCAGCTGTGAAAGGAAAGAGGAAGTGGTCACCGTTGCCTTCACGATGAATGTGATGGCACATAAATACGCCGGCCCTTATGAATTGTGGTGGCGTCAATTTTTCCCGATGGAGCCATCCATCCGCCTGCACGGAGCGGCGATGCTGACCGGACGGGCATCTGTCAGTTGCCGCCACCCCGTGAAGGGAGGGATGACACAAATTCTGGCGAGACAACTGCGCCGCAAGTTAATGCTGAGCCGTCACGTCAGAACGAGGATTGGCGACAGTCTGCGGCGGCTGACGGACCCAACACCGTCGATCCGAGTCCCGCATCCAACACGGCGACCAACACGTCCAAGAAGAGGCTTTTCTTTGCCAACTGTCCGAGAATATTAGTGGCGCTGAATGCATTCGGGATCACCTCTGTTAATTATGGCGGCAGGGAACACTTTGCTGCGGATAACGCGGACGAGGTGAATGAGCACAACGCCACTGGACACAAATCTCCTTTCCTCCGAAAATGGCTTTGCAGGCAGTGGATTTGTTGCTGAGGGTGATGCGGACGGATTGAGTCAACGCAATGCCTCTGGACACGAAAACAAACCCCAATTACGAGAATTCACCGCGCAGTATTCCGGGAGCGGCGGGAGTCTACACGACTGCTTTGCCCCGCTCAACGACGCGAAATTGACACTGCGAGAGTTAACTGTTGACAGCACTGTGCGTGTTTGCGTGTATTGGGTGTTGCTGCCTCTTCTGTGATTGTGTGGAGTTGTGGCGGTCTTCTGAGCCACGGAGTGTGGAATTGCGGCTCCTCACGGAGAACATGTGCCGCGTTCCTTGCGTGTGTTATTTTTTAATTATTTTTTTATTGTTAGTTTTGTTTTTGTGTTGCTTTTCCGGAATGATAATGACCCCTATTTATTTAATGGTTGGTTGCTGCACACTGTCATGGGTGACGTGTTTCCCCCTCTTTTGATTGCTTTTTTTTGCCCACACGCGGTGCCGGCCTCACTGCTGTGCGTCCCACGGACTGCACGAAGGGAGGATTGGAGGAACAGGCCGGATGCCGCAATGAAGTGTGAGAGATGTTGTGTGGGCTGGTGGAACAGTACGAACCTTTTTTTATTTCATTTTTTTTTCCTTGGTGAAGGCATTATGTATACACAGACACACACGGTTGTCTTGTGCTTCTTAGCATATGAAATAGAATTTCTGCCCGATTGGTTTTTATATTCCTCCCCTGGAGTTCTGCTGCACTCTCAACTTATTTGTTTTTTCCTTTTGTTGCTGTTGTGTATTTTCTTTGAATTTGAAGTTTTGGTTTGCGTGGCGGTGTGTGAGTTCTGCAGTTGTAATGATTTCATCTTCCTTTTTTGGTGTGCGCTTCTTCTGGCTGCTGCCATTTATTACCATGCGGTGGCTGTGCGTGGTGTAGTGCTATCTCTCTCCACTTCCTTTCTCATGCTCTTGCAGATCGAATCCACGTTTTTTAACAACGATAGTTTTGATGATGATGCGCCGTGTTTTCTTTGTCGTGTTGGCGTTTGCACTGCTGTGCTGCTGCTCGTGCGTGTTTGCTATGGAGGAGGAGGTGCAAGAGCCGCAGGTGCTGCAGGTGAATGCAGAGTGTGCGGATGTTGGTGGCAAAGTTACGCGTTGGCAACTCCCTGGGAACTCATTGTGGTACAACTGCACGGTTGAAGATAATGGTGTGGGGAAGGAGATTTGCGGCATGGGCGGCGGAAACTGTACGTCCGAGGATGTTGAGAGGCGTGCCAAAGGAGTTGCGAAGGGCGGTGTCTTTACGATCAACGTCACATCGCTCACTCCAAGCGCGGTGAAGAGGTGGTGGGAGAGTAACGTGAAGTCGAAGGCGGTCACCGTTGAAAGTGTTCCGGCTAAATCTTTGGAAGCAGAACCTCCGAGCCCTCCAGAACACAAGGATTCTCGTGAAACATCTTCCAGACCGGGTTCTGAATCTTTTCCGGACGGCGCTGAGGGTGTGGCTGGTGCCCCTCCTCCACCACCTGCAACTCCAGGCGGCGCTGTTGCTAACTCTGCTGCTGGCGCTGCGGCCACGACGGATCCTTCTCCTCCTGCGACTTTGCAAGCGCAGAATTCCGCTCCCGCTGGTGAGCTTCAAGGCCCTTCACATTCTACTTCTGCTGCTTCTGCTGCACCCGAATCCCCACCAGATCCAAAGCCCACAGAAGACAGCGACCACTCCTCCCATGACCCTTCAGTGGAACTGCAGGAAGAGACTGCTGCTGCGCCACCGACTCAGTTGTCCCAGACCGGCGAGGACGGGGGTGCAGCGGAAGGCGCCGAAGAGGACACCGCCGCCAACACCACCGACACTGCTTCCACCAGCGAAGTAAATTCTACGGCGGCAAGCATGCCGGCTCCTCTTTCCTCTGCGCCCAAAACGAACGCTCTGGAGAACCGTGTGGGAACTGACGCCTGCTTCCATGACACCCATCTGCATGCCCTGTCACCGCTTGTTCTGGCTGCACTCACGTACGGGACACTGGGCTGAAGAAGTGAATGCGGACTATAATTGCTAGCACTCAACCACGGGGATTTATGTGTGCGTCTACTGTGGTCAGATGTAGATAAATAAGAGGAAATAATGATTGTGTTTTGCTTCATTTGATTCAGCTGCGCTGCTGTGTGCTCCACGTTGTTGATCTCTGTATCCGTCACTTGGCACGCGTCCCAGACACATTCGTATGCACAACGCCCACAACTGTTTGTGTGGACGCATGTCTGTGTGCTGCATGCACGCTGGAGCCATTTGTTGCAGCTCCTTCTTTGTTTTTTGTGTTTTTACTCTCTTTTTTGTTTTTTCTTTTTTTTTTCTACTGTTGTTGTTGTTACTTGTTTTTTGCTTCCTCCGGGGCGTTGTGAGTTTCTTTCACCTTTTAATGGTTTATTTTCTTTAACTTTTTCTTTTTTTTTGTTTCCTAATCTTTTACTCATCCGCCATTCCTCTTTTTTTGCTTTTGGGGCAATCACTATGGACGTTTTTCTTTTCTACTCTTCCCTCTTTTAATTGTTTCTTCTGCACTCTTCCTGCGAGGGGTGCCGTGTGTTCCCGCCCAACTGCTCCACTCGCACACCCACCGACACGCTCATGACGACGGCCCTGTGCGCCTCGCCTGCTGCACGCATGAGGAGGTGCCGCGACGAACGGCGCGCTGCGGGAGCCGTGACGTGTGGACGTGCGACGAGGGCCTGTGGGGCGGCGCACACATTTCTTCCCTCTTGTTTTGTTTTGTTTACGGTCAGGGCAGACACCCGCAGCGCCACACACACAGCCACACCCTGCTGCCGTGTTTTTCTTTCGTTTTGTTTGTTTTTGTTTTGTGCGTGCTGCCACCGTGCGTGATTGTTGAGTTCGGGGCCACACCGCATGTATCGCTGCCATCCAGCTGTGCCTCTTGCCGTCCTGATGTGCATCCCTGTGTTCCTTTTTTTTTTTTGCTTCTCCAACATACACCCACACGCATAAGTAGTTGCACAGTGCTCTGCAAGAATGTTTTTGGTAACGAGGGGCTTGGGCTTCGGCAGCGGCTGTTGGTGCTGCGGAGAACGAGGCGCCGAGGAACAAGAGGGCGAACCTGCTGGACGAGATTACGATGGCGGATGAGAGCTGTTTCGTTGCCTTTGCTTCGTACATTGCTAAGAATGCGCCATGTCGCCGCCTGACGGGATGCCTGCACTCGGCACCCTTCGAGGCATTGTGTTCTTTCATTCAGTGTGATGTCACAATCATCATGGCAGCACCTTCCCTCGCCGGCTCTGAGTGTGACAATACGAATGACGGCAAAGAGAGCGATGAGTATTATGGTGACGACTTGCACCGAGGGGCGGATTATTTGCGCGTCTTGGCACACGAATCCCAGGAGGGTTTGGATGCCCTCCCCACAATTCCCGGCCTTGCGGAACCGTTGGCTTTCGCGCTGTTACCCGCCGTAATTAGTGCCCCATGCGTTGAGACTGATCCATTTGCCGTGGAGTTCACGCAGCAGCTCTCGAGTGTTTGTGCTGCTGGTCCCTCGTTGGCCCTTTCGCATGTATCTCAGCGTTGCCTGGCGTGTGATTTGTTGTGCGTTGTCCAGGCCGCCGTCTCCAGTTTTCTGTTGGTGCCCAATAAGAAACACTTTGCGTTGCGGTGGGTATTTATTTGCGTGGCCGTCGACGCGCGTGACGATGCTCAACGGGTGTGTCTTTTGTTTAGTGGGCACGAGGGAGACTTCGGTGTGTGCCAACAGCACCGCGGAAGTCTTCGTCGACGGATCGAGGCGAAAATAAGGGAGGTCTGTCCGCTGCATCTCTCAAGGCAGCTGCGGGGCGCTCCGGACGCACAGAGTGAATGGACGGATGCCGCGCAGCTGGGGAGACCAGTTGTCTTCTCCGCCCTCCGTTGCCTGTGGAATCGATAATCCACAGCGTCACTGCCAGCAGCATTTTACTGCTGGGGATCGGCTGTGCTGAGGTTGCCCGTCTAGTGTGAATCGCAGCGTCAGTGCAGGAAGACGCTTTCACGCATTGCGAGTAGCTGCCCCAGCCTCGAGCTCATCAATATTCACAGCGGGGAGCAATGCATTTTGGTGGCCGGTGACGTTCAGGCGAGTGTGTTTCACTTCCCCCGCCGACCGCTGCCCTCTGCTGACGGTACAGTTGTTTGGCTCCGCCAATAATGCGCTCGTGAAACGTCCTCTCCGCACGCTGCGGGATTATTGCCGTGGAGGCGCTGATGGCATGTGGTGCGGGTGTGGCGTCGACGGAGTCATTCACGCATTGTCTTAGAAACATGACTTTGAGTCGTGTCAGTCACGCCGTGTTTCCCTTTTTTCTTGCTGGGAGTCTTGTGGGTGTGTTTGAGCCTCTTTTAGGAGCCTGCGTAGAGAATGATCGCGGGAGAGCTGGCTGCCTTAATGAATGTGTATATATACCCTGACAAAACGAATATACACTTCTGTACGACACTTTTCTGCCGTATGAGTTTTGGGGAGGCCACGACTTTAGGGAGCCGACAGAGGCCGGATAATTTTTATTTTTATTTTTACCATCGCACCCGCCCCCTTTTGGTTCCGCCACGCGGCGGGGTCTTGTGGCTGCAGGGCCCCAAAAGTCAGCCACCTCGTAAGTAACAAATAAATACATGCATCCTACCCGAATAGAGTGAGCGGGCTACGATTGTGGCTGACGGATGGTATATAAACATACAGTCACCTGGTGTTAAGTCTTTGAGGATGTGGCGAATCCATTCTTATTCCGTTGATCCCTCACTTATTTCCATCGTGTTTGGTTTCTATTGTTGAGAAACTCAGAACTTGGCCAGCGGCTCAGAAGATTATTCTTTATTGCAGCACTTTACCAGCGAAAGGCAGGAACGACTGACACCGAATTATTGGCTGCACCAACACAAGAAACATTCACAAGAGGAAAAACTGATTGTTGTGCACCCTGCAGAAATCCCCAACACACGATCCAGGCATGAAGGTTTGCCCTCTGCAAAACAACATATGCGGACATCTGCCAACATTCAAACAGGAACACAAATAAATGGTTTCCTGCACTCTTCTATTCCCTGGGCTTATTTTTGGTTGTGCTGCTGTTGCGGTGGTGGCCGCTCTTGCATGGAGTGGTGTGCGCTGGATTTGAAGAAGGTCAAAAGGCAACTGAATTGTTTTTGCGGTGAATGTTGGCTGCACTTCCCGTGGACCAACAATCCACGTGGTGTGCGGGGAACTCCTTTTTTTATTGTTACTTTGCTTTTGTGCTGCTGTGTGCGCTGCACCTCCTCTTGTGTGTGTGCGTACCCTCCGTGAGGGGTGCCGACACGACGGACCGCTCTCGCCGTGTGTACATGCGGTGGAGCCTTGTGTGCCGCTCCTGTTTGCTTCTCCCTCCTCCATCTGTGTGTTGGTGTTGCGGCAGGGCTGTGTGTGTGTGCCTGCTGCCGTGGATTGGGGTGTGTGTCGTGCGTGGTGTGCGGCGTACGGTGCATGCCTGGCTGCTGCCCTCTCCTCATGTGGTGTGCCCTCTGTGTGTGTCTGCCGCACCTCTCGTCTCCCCTGTTGCTCTCCATGTCCCTCACTGTGCAGATCTGCTCCACACCACTGAACGACCACACTCACGATGACGACGTGCCGTCTGCTGTGCGCCCTGCTGGTGCTCGCCCTGTGCTGCTGCCGCCCGTCTGTGTGCGCGGCAGCGACTGGTGGAGATCAAGGTGGAAGCAAGGAAGTTAAAATTCCCACTCCATCGCCCCGTGTCCCAGAGGAAGTGAAGGTGGTCGAGACGGAACAGAAATTAGGGACGTCCGGTAAGCCAGGAGAAGGGAGTCAGAGCATTGTGGATCAGACACCAGGTACGACGACTGATACGGAACAGCCGCTAAATCAAGTCATTACGCCACACACAGAAGAGGGTGCGCCAGCTACAGCAGGGGAACGACTTACAACTAATTCGGAACAGGCAGCAACTGGGGACACTGAAACGGCACAAAAAACAGAAGAGAGGACCCTTAAGCCAGAGGTAGCAGATAATTCCGATGTTCAGGAGCTAACAGGTCGTATCCCTCAAATGAAAGTATCAGGTATCGAAAACACCGCGAAAAATAAGATCACCACAACCACAACTACGACAAAAGCACCAACTACCACCGCCACTACGACTACAGAGGCGCCAACTACAACCACGACGACCACCCGCGCACCGTCACTTCTTCGCGAAGTCGACGGCAGCCTCAGCAGCTCTGCGTGGGTGTGTGCCCCGCTGGTGCTCGCCGTATCCGCGCTGGCGTACACCACTCTGGGCTGAAGATGTGTATGCGGGCTGTGCGTGCCAGCACTCAACCATGGGGACATGTGCGCGTCTACTGTGGTCCGATGTAAGTAAATAGGAGTAAATAATGATTGTGTTTTGCCTCACTTGCTTCCGGTGCCCTGCTGTGTGCTCCTTGCCGCTCCCCGCATCCGTCACGTTGAACGCACCCCAGACAAACTCATATGCATGGCACGCACACAACTGCTTGCGCGGAGTCACATTTGAGGATGGGTGCGTGCGCGCTGGAGCCATACTGTGCAGCCTTTGTTTTGTGTGTTTTTACATTTTTTACTTCATTGCTGTTGGTTTACCTGTGTTTTGTTTCTAATTGTTTTGTGTGTTTTTCTGTTTGCTTGCTGCGGGGCATTGTGTGTTTTTGCCCTTTCGCTGGTTTTAACTGTCTCATGGTGTGTGTGCGCTGCTGCTGCTGGGCTGCTGCCATTTGTGACTGTGCGGTGGCTGTGCGTGGTGTAGCGGCCGTGTCTCTCCTTTTGCTTCCGCTCTGTGTTGACGGGGAGTTATTTTTTGCTGAAGGCTGCAGGCAAGTGACAGGAGTGATGGCGATGATGGTGACTGGCCGTGTGCTGCTGGTGTGTGCCCTCTGCGTGCTGTGGTGCGGTGCCGGCGGGGTTGATGCGAGTAATCTCGAGAACAACGCAGTTGGTGGCTGCATGGCGTCGGGAGTGTTGAATACGAATAAATCGTATACGCCGAGCGGATGTGACAAAACGGCGCTGACGCTGCCTTTACGATCTGTCTTGTCCATCACTGCCGTTGAAGCTTCGACTGACCCATTGGTGACTGGTACAGCCGAAAATAAATCGGATTTAGCTCCAAGTTCAGGTGCTGATTTCGGTTGTGCCGGTTCTCCTCCTGGTCGCGGAGATGAAGGTGGAGGCGGTAGAGACGACGGTGCTGGCGGTCCTGGTGGCGTTGGAGGTGCCAGTGGCAGTCAAGCTCGTGGCAGCAAAGCTTCTGTTGGCGGTGGTGGTGGCTCAAATGGAGGTTCTAAAGCACGTGTTGATGGCTCTTTGAAGTCCCCTGCTTCGGATGTCAAGTCCCCATCTCCTGTTCTCGGTGATGGTGGCAGTTCTCCTGGGGCTCCTACAGGAAGTGTAGGTTCTGACGGAAGCAAAGGTTTCATTTTGGGCTCCTTTTCTTCTGGTGGTCGCAGTCAACCTGATGCTGGCAGTCCAGGTGGTGATGCATCTTTGAGCGCTCCTGTTGCTGGTGGTAATTCCCCACCCTCCATCACCGACGAGAGTGATGCCTTGGAGAAGACCGGCGCTGCGGCATCCACAAAGGGAGGGAAACCCCAAGAAGCAGGTGAGCAGTCAGGAGCAAATCGTGCACGGAACGAATTGCCCAAATTGTCGGCACCAGCGGAGTCAACACCCGAAGCACAAGAAGACTGTCCCAGTGAACAAGAAAAACCAGAAAGTGAAGCTGCTGGTAGGGCCGCAACTGGAAAAGAGAAACGGCGGATTGACGCGGAGGCACAAGGTCCTTCCACCGTGATGTCCACCGCCAGCACCCCGCCACTACCACCGCCAGCGCCAGCAACGGTAGGAGAACAACCAACAGCAGTGGCAGTTCCGGCAGGAGGAAGCCCAACGGCACAAACAGACTCGCAAACTTTGACAGAAGAAAGGACAAAAACGCCACCGCCACCAAACAAAAAGGAGACTGAAGAGACGGAACCTACTTCTGGGGATGGTGTGGCAGAGCAACAGGGTCAAGGCACAGTTTTACCGGATCTGAAGGGTGGACCTACCGGCAGCCCGGCGGAAGTAACGGCATCATCCATCTCTACAAGTGGCAGTGGTGATGGCCGGAGTAGGACGGATGAGAATGACGACAACAGCAGAGGGCCCAACCCCGGAGGGCTACACAACGACCCCGAATCCAGTCATACCAACGTTGCGCCCACAGCCAGTGAGACAAAACCACGTACAGCGAAAGCAGCAGCCACCGCCAGAACAGATGATACGGCAAAGCCTGGCAGCAGTGACGGCAGCACCGCGGTCTCCCACACCACCTCCCCTCTTTTGCTTCTTCTTGTTGTTGTTGCGTGTGCCGCTGCGGCTGCGGTGGTGGCCGCGTGAGAGTGAGGGAGAGAGAGCCGTGCACCGCCCGCACACACACTCTTCCTTCTCTCTCTCTGTGTGTGTGTCCCCTTGCATGGACTCTCGCCCTCACCTCACCCCACGAGTCACACACAATAATGTGCCCATTGTATATATGCATGCACACCCATGCAGGCCCGTTGGTGCTCTCTTTTGCACGACACGCACCGCTGCCGTCCTGCCCGGCTGCATGGGCGGAGCACCGTAACTGTTTCTGTTTTTTTCTCCTCTTATGATTGTTTTAATTGTTTTTAATTTTTCTTTGCTGTTTGCTTTAAAATATTTCAAATTGTTTTTTTTTTTTGTTTTTTCTGGTTGTGTGATTTTTTTCCTTCGTTTTGTTTTTGTTATTACTTTTTATTGTTCTTTTCTCACATTTCCTTCACTCCCCCATATCTTTTTTTGCTTTTGGGGCAATCACTATGGACGTTTTTTTCTTTTCTACTCTTCCCTCTTTAATTGTTTCTTCTGCACTCTTCCTGCGAGGGGTGCCGTGTGTTTCCCGCCCAACTGCTCCACTCGCACACCCACCGACACGCTCACAACGACGGCCCTGTGCGCCTCGCCTGCTGCACGCATGAGGAGGGGCCGCGACGAACGGCGCGCTGAGGGAGCCGTGACGTGTGGGCGTGCGGCGAGGGCCTGTGGGGCGGAGCACACATTTCTTCCCTCTTGTTTTGTTTCCTTGCGGCCAGGGCGGGCAGACACCCGCAGCGCCACACACACAGCCACACCCTGCCGCCGTGTTTTTCTTTAAGGATTTGTTTTGCTTTGCGTGTTTATTTCATGCGGTGGCGCACCCTCCGGTGTCGGCCTCGTGAGCATTTCTCTCCCCTCCGATGATTTCTTTTTCTTTTTCTTTTTTTTTCTTTTTTTAAAATTCTTTCCAAAGTGTGAGTTGTGGAAGGGTGAGGATGATTTTTTATTTATTTATTTTTATTTAATTTTTTAATGAATTGCCGCTGCTTGGGCTGCAGTGCAATATCATGAGTTTGAGCTGTCTTTTTCCCTTTGTTTCTGCCATGCACCTCTGCTGTGCGTTTTTGTTTGTGCGTCCCTTCAATTGCTCTGCTCCTGTTTTTACTTCTTTGCTTCGTGTGTCTGCAGGCACACACACAACCACAACATGCACACAAGGTGCACATTGCAGTGGATTTGGATGCTTCTTTTGTAGCGTGTGCTGGCGGTTGCGTGTGGCTGCTGCTTCCTCCGTGGGCACGAAGGGAAGGAGGAGAGGGAGCGCGCACGGCGAGTCACTCTTCCTGCGACTGCTGTGGAGGGCCGCATCCTTTCGGTGTGCGCTTCTCCGCCGTTGTGCCGTGCGCTCGCGCGTGTCATTTGTTATGCGCGTGCGTACTGAGCATGTTTTTCCGGAGCGTTGGGCGGCTGCCACCATTCTTTTGCGGTTTGTGTGAGTGGGCACGTGCGGATGAGGGTCAGGGCGCATGGAATGAAGGAATGGCGTGGGGAAGGGGAATTTGATTTGGAGGGTGTTTGGACCGGATTCATTTGGCTGCGGTGGACACATGCACGACGGATGTGTTTCGGCATAATGGGGGAGGATGCGACAGGACTTTCCGAAGTGACCCGTCAATGCAATTTGGGTTTCATAGCACTGGGGCACAGTGGTCTTCCTGCAATGGCTGGTGACGGCCTCTAGTGGACCGGTGTATTTATGCTGCTGCTGCTGCTGCTCGAGGAGGCGTAGAAGCGCGATTTGAGGTGAGCGGCGGAGGGGCCACACATCCCGCAGTGATGGTCGTCGTTGGCCCAGCAGGTGCCTCTGAAGGTTTTGTTGGATGCAACGTCCTTATGCCCGTCTCCGGATGGCGGCATCCCTGATGCAGCCAACGGACGGGGCTGGGAGCGACGGTGAGACGCAAGCACGTGTGGATGTTCGGAGCGGCCGGCGCACCGCACGCTGAGCGCATGGCACGGCGAGGGCCGGACCCAGAAAAGGGACACCGCGTGGGACGTCAATCTTCACTGCAGCGACCGCCACCGAATTCGGATTTGCTCGCACCTTCTGCGGTCCCTCTTCCTCCCCTCACTTCTGTGCCGAGGACTGTGCCGCGGGATCCAGCAGCGAGATGTTTGGCCGCAGGAACATGGCCCGAGCAAATCGTTTGTGGGAGGGGATGTGCACTGCGACGAGAAGAAAAAAAATGTTGCGAGACGATCACCACCGCAAGACCGGAGTGAAGTTGTGTTTTGTCCACTTGCGCGAGGGCGGCCTGCCACCTGGTCGGTTAGGAGGATTATTTTTTTGCGTCGTTGCGCTCTCTTTTTATTCCGCTGCGTTTTCCTGCGGACCTGCGAAGGGAGATTTGCAAGAAGTTTCTGCGAGGCGTCCGTGCCGTCGTCGGAAAAGCGGATCCCCCTTGAAAAACGCTACTTTATAAATTTGTTTTGGGCGGGGAGTTCCTGTCGATTCACTGCGACTTTGTTTTGCGGATTTGATGCGTGTCTTTCCGGGCGGCTCGGTCTGTGCTCCCGGCCTACTCGGATGTGGTGTGCGCCTCGACGTGAAGGTTCCTGCCAGCCGTTTGATTGCCTCCCCGCTGTGGCTGCCGCCGCTGTCTTCTTCCCTCCCTGAGGTCCTGCGGCTTCTTGACAAGATGCTTTGGAGAAGGCGTTGCCGCTCTTGTCGTCCATGATATTTTGATTCTGGTGTCGCGGTCAGGAGACATTGAACGAGAGGGTTTGCTGCCCTCCTGTTTTATTTGCCCTCTCTGCCTGACGGCCAGTTCTACACAAGCGTGCTGCTCGGCACCTCAGTTGGTGCTGGCGGGTTTGCTCACAGTTGTCGCGGGCAATCGCATGCGCCAACTCTTCTCTGCTCCTTTTCAGTGTCGCATTTTTTTATTG